TATATATATATATATGAATAAATGAATATAATAATCTTTAGGAAATTTCTTCATATCTAACTAATGAACAGTTTCTTGAAATTTGTAATATGATTCATATCTGGGTGCACTTTAAAGACACATCTTGGAAATAATTATTCCATGCTTCAAGCATGTCTGCCTGCGAGCTTATTTGCGAGTATATTTTCTAACTTTTCTGAAAAATGATTTAACAACTTGCTCAAGTTTCTTGTCTTTGTATCTTTAAGCCTTCAAATCATATAAAAAATCATTTCGTTTAAACATTACTTTACACACCAACCATGGTAAATTCAAAAGTGCTATCTGAGAAATTCAAAAATCTGTTAGAACCATGGTAATAAATACTAGATAAGTGCGCTAAGCGTATTATCATAGGCCAGTAGGAAACAAACATCTTAAAGTTTTACTGATTTTTCATGTAAATTCAAATTAGGCAATATTTCATAGAAATCAAATTACCTAAATTATAATATTTATAAACATTAATACATACTTCCACTGCCATTAAAAGGTTGGTGAACAGGCGCTGTGATTTTTTCCATACTTAGTACCATCAAATCGGGTTCGATTGTGGTAAAATTTCGATATCCTAAAACTATTGGTGTTTCGATCCATAATACGAGGAACAAAAACTTGAAGATGTTTAATGTATCTAAACAATTGTAACAGTTTTGAAAAAAATTACATCGTGTCATTTTGGTAATTTTTTGCAGCTGAATGTACTCGATTTTTTTTCTTTTTTTATAATAACCTTTCGGAAGATGCTGGTTGTTATTTTTTCTTCTTTGATCAAAGTTATTTTCTGTCCGCATGCTATTACGATATACTTGGATGATACTTCTATTTTTTTGAGATATTTTACTTTGAATAAATACTCAAACTATCTTTTCCACATGTTGTTAATACATAAATTGTGTGTTTTTTTAAAGAACCTTTATGATTTTCATATAATCAGCTTTTTTTTATTAGTAGATGTACCGAAAACACTGTTGTCGCCACCACGAGATCATGACCTCAGACACACAATCACCATAAATCAAGTACAAAAAACAATGTGATGCGTCACCGAAAACTTTAGAATCTGATATGGTTAAATTCAATAAAGTTCTACTTTGCATATTTTCTTTATTGAATATTATTAATTATTTCTTCAACATGTGAGTTGAAATTGAATTGATTTTCTCATCTTTTTCAAAACACTTTAAAATGAACAACAAAATACATTAAACAGATATATTTTTTATATGTCAATTTTTTTTAGCACTTTACACTTACTCTCCACTTTTATTTTTTTAAATGATTTAATCTTGCCAATATTTTCATTCAACCAATTTCACTCAAACCTTATGAAGATAAAAATAATTAAATATTCAAAGGAGTTTTATAATCTCTATTATTTTTTATTTATTTGTAAAAATTTGAGAATAAGAGAGAAATACGACGCAAATAAGAAGAAAATGGTTGACTTTGTGTGCAGACGATTTAGTGTGGTGTGTGTTTGACACCGGTTGTCATCTGGGGGGAATGTCACTGAGGTGAATCTGTTTAAAAAAAATTAAATTAAAGGTTTTTTGTTTTCAATTTCTAATTAGGTACCTAACTAAATCATAGTCAGTTTATTCAATTTCGGATCTATTTTATTTTTTATGTACAGTTTTAATGACAGAATGAATTTTAGATATTTATCGAAAATTTGAAAATGTAGGTAGTTTGGTTAATACCTAATACTGGTGCATGTTAATATAAAGCAATTCATCACTTTGATGAAAAGCAACAATTTTTCCGTTAGCATGTAGGAAGGTATTTAATTGAATTACTCTTAACTCTCTGTTCCAAAAGGTGCAATGATTATCTCCTGATCCCATTTAGGATTGACCAGAATATTTGAAAGATTTATATCAAACCGCTTCCTCATCTTCTTTCAACTTCCTTTGCTCCTTCCAAGCCCTGGTTATTACCTATTTACACTTTTTCTTTCTCTTAATTCAACGAAGGGTGCGGAAAGACAAAAAAAAACACATCGTTCTATCGAGAAAATCGTTTTATAAGGAAAGCGCTATAAAGAGTTCACTGTATGCATGTATTTATATATTCACTAAACAAAGTGACCAAAAAATCTTTCTTGTATAAATTAAAATTCATAAGAATAAGATATTTAATCAGTCTAATTTAATTTATTTTCAGTGACAACCTGAAGGTATACATGAAATGGCATTTTATCATCTGAATCCATCAGAAACTTCCATAACAATTTCATCATTTGAAACTGTTGATTCGATCACTTACTATGACATCAAAATTTCCTGCTATCGAAACGTCGAATGGACGGTATAAATTTACGGGTTTATTAAGGGATTTGAGTCGTTTATATTTTTCGGTTCAGGAACAAAAAATTAAAAAATATTGTTTTATAACTAGTTTTGTTCTGAATCAAATATGGATCAAATCTCAGACTTAAATATCTAGATATAAAAGTAATTTGATTAAAAAAGTTTTTAGGTGAAGCATCGATTTAAGGATTTTTACGAGATTCACGAAAAGTTGCAAAAGTCTATTGCAATCCCAAAAGATCTTCTTCCAGGAAAGAAACTTGTTAAGAATCTGCAGTTATTTCAACAACGAAAAACAGAGCTTGAAAAATATCTGCAAGCAATCGCACAAATAGCGCAGTTGAACTTTCCACTAGAGTTCGTGGAATTTTTAGATTTTCAAAAATACGATGTCATATTTTTGTTACAAAGATTAGCAAAGGATATTTTTAAATTAGGGTACATCCAAAAATCATGGACCTTTACAATTTTAGAGGTAAGTCTAATGTGTATTTGAACTAAACATTTAAAAATCTATATGTCTCAGTAGATGCATGCTATATCATCAAGAGTTCTTCTACCTCGTCAATCTTTTGAAGTGCAAAATTCGGCTTTTGATTTTTCTAATATACTTGATTTCTGTTGTCATCTGGAAAAATTGCAGATTGTTCCTGAAAGAAGCATATTTTCAACTAAAGAGGAAATGTTAAAAAACCTTATATCTCCTATAGGCACATCAAACATACTTAGTTCTACCCTAACGTTTGATATGTCTCCGTTTACATCTATTCAATCATTAGAGTTAATTGGAATTGTTCCGCAAAACATTGTAAAGTGTAACAACATCAGATCAACAGTCGAGAATTTAAAACTTAATAATACCAGAGTTCAAACTGTCAAAGAAATTTTGTTGCCAGATTCGATTCATAAAAATTTCCTATCTGAAAATGACCAAGTCTGGTATCGACTTAAAAATCTTGATTTAGCTTACAATGAAATATGGCTCATTGATCCTGCTATAAAACTAGCTCCAAACATAGAAGAGTTACATTTGAACGATAATAAATTAAAGACTATTTCAAACCTCAGATCACTTTGCCACCTCAATCATTTGAACCTAAGTGGAAACATGATTGAATCTCTTTTAGACTGGCATTTGAAACTAGGTAATATTTCAGTTTTAAACTTATCATGCAACCAAATTCAATCACTAAAAGGTGTTAGTCACTTAAAGTCTTTGCGGATTCTTGATTTGAGTAGAAATCAAATAAAAGATATCAACGAAATTGAGAATATTGCTAAGCTTCCCGTAATAGAATACATAAGTTTGAATGGTAATATAATAGCTCAAGAAATGGACTACAGGATCAAAATACTTTCAATGTTTGTGGATTATAATTATAATATAATTCTTGATAATGAAACAAGCTCTCAAACTGAAATTGATAAGGCAATGGTTCTTGCAGCTCTTCGAAATAGACAAAACATAAAATAGCCACTTTGAATATTGTAATTTTCTTAAAGAAAAATATGATAATTACTGCTTATACATAAGCATGATTAACACATATTAATTTATTCTTTTTTACCAATTTATGTTTAAATATCTATGATTTATAATGTATTTATTAAAAGATGATTTTATAAACGAAAATTCCATCATTAAAAAGATGGGTAGATTCAACCCGAACATCTATCGTACACAGGTTTAACTATTAAACCTCCAGGATTGAAAATTACCCTTAGTTTTTATATTCTCCTTAAAAAACTTTGAATCCCTTTTTAAAATATCAGTTTTCTAATTTTTTCTGGCTATTTCAAATCACCTTCAACATTGTTTCTATAAAAAAAATCACAGTAGATATGTTAAATAGTTAAATAAAAATTATTTTTCCTCTCTCATGAAATTCGTAAGATATTGTTCAGAAAATTTCATACAAATTGTTCAGCTTCCAATAGGAAAAATAATTTTTGGAGTAAATTATTAAATAAATATTCCCTAATATCTATAACAATTAGGTATGTTTTCACTTGAAATAAAAAAGAAGAAGATATTACAGAAAGATTTGTAATGAGAAAAGCATACAACATGTGAACACTTTCTCTGTGTTTTACCAGGGTAACTATGTTAAGTTCAATAAAAAAAAGTTAAGTCTGCATATATGCCTGAATAAGTCTAATACAATTTATGAGTTTGTTTCTTTTTTTCGTTTAAATGGACATGGAACAACACTACACACAGAACTATCTAACTATTCTAACTCATGTGTAACTTTGGCCAGTGTTTCTCAAAATTGGGATAATTTTATTTCAAGTGAAGCAACTGAAATTGATTGATGTTTTTCTCAGGTTTAAATTTCTGTATAGCGCTGAGTATTTTGTTTTAATCAAAATGAAAATCATTGTAACTGTAACACGCATTAAGTTATTTACTTTTTTCTAAGTTAGACTTTACATTTTTCGAACCCTTTGGACACTTCTTTCAATTGAGTAGGTACTCTACTCAAAAGCACTTTTTTCAATATTTTTTAGAAAACTGTTTTTATTGTGTGTATTTTTTCAAATTTATACAACATTCTGCCGAATAGCTACTTTGCATTCAAGAGGAAAGAAGTTATTACCATATTTTTTACTATTTCAAGTCAAACATTTCATAATTTTTCTAATTCTTTGGAAAGCCAATCAAGCCCTTCATATAAACCATTTCCTTGAGTTGCACAGGTTGCCTGGATGAACCACTAAAATTAAATGTTTTATAATTTGATAGAAAAAATATTTTTAAAATATAATGATTCACTTACACTTCGGTTATGTAGTGAATTAAGTCGTAATTTTTCTGTCAACTCAGCTGCACTCATGGCGTTTGGTAAATCCTGTTTGTTGGCAAACACTAAAACCACTGCATCACGTAATTCATCCTCACTTAACATGTTGTGCAATTCTCGTTCTGCTTCACAAATTCGTTCTCGATCATTCGAGTCGACTACGAAAATAAGTCCTTGAGTGTTTTGAAAATAGTGGCGCCACAAAGGACGGATTTTATCTTGACCACCAACATCCCATACTGTGAAACAAATATTTTTATATTCTACCGTCTCGACATTGAATCCAATTGTTGGTATAGTAGTAACTATCTCCCCAAGTTTTAATTTGTACAGAATAGTGGTTTTACCAGCAGCATCCAATCCAACTAAAAAAAATTAAATAGATATTTATTATACGTTTTCCGAACACTAAATTGAGTTTATTAATTGTTTTTGAAGCCACCTACCCATCAAAATACGCATTTGTTTTTTCCCAAAAAGTCGATTTAAAACACTCGATATTGTAAGACCCATGGATTAATTATTTATCGATTCATGTAATGATTTATCTATAATAGGTAGGTACTTAATGATTCGGAAATGTATGAATATTTTTTCAGAAAAATTCTGCATAGTGCCACGTAAATTTAATCTCAATTTAAAATATTTAACGTTAAATGATACGTTTTATTAAGATACCTACTTAACACTATAATTAAATTAAAACTAGAATAAAATGAAAGAAGAATTTATTGTTCAACGCTTAGAAGTAAATATAATAGGATCTATTTAACTAAAAAATAGAAAATTGGATATATTGACTTTTCCTCTTGTTTATAAAAATTAAAATATTTAGATATCTAGGTAGGTATGTTAATTTTGTTGAGAAGTAAGTCATGTTTTTCTTACTTTTTGCAAGGTGCTTTTTTAAAAGAATTTAATGTTTTTCGACACTTTTTAAGAGTATATACGATAGAAGAACTTATTGCAATCAAAAGTTCTTTGACATTATTTAATTAAATACCTAGATGTCAAAATTTATATTTTTTTAGATTCGAAAGATTATTTGGACCCAAATTCATAATTATTCGAAATCGAAAAAATTCAAGAATAATTCGTTAAATTGTTATAAAATCTTTGTGGGAAATAAAAGATAAACTTATTTTGTCTTTTAATTATTTTATTATGCTTATGCATTCTTTAAAATATGTTATTTAAGTGAAAATTCAGAGTTTTATGAGACCTAGAAATTTCAATAACATTTTTTAGTTACATATCCAAGAAATTTTGAAATATATTGATAAAGGTACATGGATTTTTTCCTTGTACAATTTTAAATAAATATCTAAAAATTTATGATAAATACCTAGGTCATTTATAATATTAAATTGAACATTTAAGGGAGTAAGAGGAACAAGATAAGATAAGTCAGTTTATTTAACAATAACTAAAAGTTTGTCGAAATAACAAAAAATAAAAGAATTTTACTTTCATCATTCATTTGAGTTCTGGATCTTTTCCTTCCTAACGAATTTTATGATATAAAGATAGAATAGGTATATGGAACTCCTAAACTAGGTAACTTTATTTTTCAAACCATAAAAATTGAAGTCAAGCCAAAATATAAATTACTGTTTAATTAGTGATACGTATACAAATATAAATATATATAACGAAAACACAATTTTCACGTTAGTGATTAATGTTGAATGGGTCTTTTAGGTGTAAGCGGTAAATTCATTGTTTTACAAACCCATCCTGAAATATCAACGTTCTCTTCGTCAGAAAATCGTATCCAGTTATGATTCTGAAATATATAATATTGAACGATAAATATTGTCACTACAACCGACATTATTTTATTTTACCATCAACGTTATCAAGTCAGCTCTTTCTTCAGGATTTTTTTTCAAGCAATTATCCACAAAATTTTTGAAATTTGCTGTGAAACTAGGATGTTCAAGTTTAGGTGGGGGTTCATTAACTATGTAGTCAAGAAGCTCAAAAATTGCCATCGATCTCGGTTCAATAATTGTTTGATTAGCAGCTGACTGTCCACTACAACCTAAAATTGCATCTAATGTACGTGAGTCGGGCATTGGAATAGGATACATTCCAATTGACATCTCAACAAGTGATAATCCTAGGGACCAAATATCTGATTGAACTGAATAGTGAGTTCCTTGTAAACGCTCAGGAGACATATAACTTCTTGTTCCGACAAAAGAATTTGCCATAGAATCAATCAGCTGACCACTCACTCCAAAGTCACATATTTTTATTTCACCACTGGTATTGACAAGGATATTAGATGGCTTAACCTGAGACAATTAAAAATATAGTAAACGTAAATGAGATAAATCAGTTCTATCAACTTACATCACGATGTATAATGGCATGTTTATCTCGTAAATAGGATAATCCTTTCAATACAGCACTGGTAATTTTACCTAATATTTGTTCCGGAATGCGCCCAGCTCGTTTCAAGATAAGATCAAGAGATCCACCGTCCATATACTCCATACAAATACTTATCTCTCCATCGCTATAAAATGCGCCATAAAATCCGACAATATGTGAGAAATTACATTCATGGAGGACTTTTAACTCTCGTATTATTTGCTTCTTAATTGCTGGTTTTACTTCCAAATGAATTAATTTTCGAGCCATGATAAGTGATGTTGGTTTATGACGAACTTTCATAACAACCCCACCATTTCCAGATCCAAGTTCTCCTAGTTTTTCTAAGTCCTGATCAGAAAGCTCACCAATCTTTTCTTTTTGACTTAAAAAAACTTTTATTCGTGTCCTGGCATTTTCATCCATCTCTAATTCCTCAAGTGTTTCGGTTAATTGGTCAATACTGTTCTTAGTACCCAAAAGTTCTTTTTTCCTTTTTAATTAAGGTTAATATTATGTTGTATATAATAATCAAAAAATGATTAAAATTTGTTATACTTACTCTCCCGTTGATTGTAAAGGGGCTGAAATACCTTCCATTGTTGTTTGTGGGGGAAGTGTTAGATTAAACTTATTCTTCGACATTTTTATATGAAACTTCAATTGGATAGTATTCAATTGTTAAAATTTTTTGGGAATATTTCGTATCTAGAATCAATGAAAATATTATTCACCCATAAGCATAGCTGAATATTTACACTCTTGAGATATTTATCATATCGACGTATGAAAATTTACTTACTGTAGTTGTTTTAAATTAAATTAGAGTACTTAATTTCAGATTTGTTTTTTAACAATATTACCAAGAAGGGGAGTTTTTAATCCCAATGAAACATATTCGAAACAAATAGATAGTACTCTTTAAACAGTTTTTACAAGAACCTGATGCAGTACACTGTAAACGTAAACTTTCGGCTGCTTATGTTAGAAATAAATTTTTCTTCTTTTCTTTTGGAGAAATTCTGTTAATTTGCTGTATCTTTTCCTGTCGTCCCATTGGGAAAAAAATTACGAATCAATCAGTTTTTAATTAACAGAATAATTCATTATTCTACCTAGCCGCCTGATTTTGATATTTTTTTTCTTGATTTTCGAGTGGAAATTTTTGATTGGATTTTTCGTATAGGAAATATTCACAAGTCTTTTTTATCTATAACCATTTTATACATGTATAAAATCATTTTAAGCTACATACCTACATAGGTAGTATGCATAGTTTTATATATAAAATTAGGTATATTTTTATTTTATTTTTTAATTTTTCCATATAAAAGCAAGCCCAAAGTCGAATAACAACATCAATTTACATAATTACGAAATAGAAAGAAAAAATTATAAGGTTTCAAGAAGTTGATTAAAAATTTTGTTGTTAATTTTTACAAATTTTGAAAATTCAATAAAGAAGTAAGTATTAGCATACGACCAGTGTCATTAAAGTATGAATAAAATCTACGGATGTTGAGCATTGTTGGTTATAATTGTCAATTTAAGAATATAAGGAAGAAAATTTAAAGAAATACAAATATGCGATCTCATTATGAGAAATTTCAATCAAGAATGATAGAAATGAAAGTAAAATAATCTTTCAACTGTCATTGAAATGATCAAGGTCAGGAATAATCTACTTTATAGTCGAATAATTATTGTCCTTTTGTTTTTAATTGTGACCATGAGTTCAATGAATCTATTTAATAATTTGTTTTCCCTTACAGAGACTTGAATAAATTACAAACATAAAATGGATGAAAAGAGAGTTGCTGACTACTTTGTAGTTGCAGGGATGACAAAGAATCCTAAACTTTTACAAGACAACATATTTAGTGACTCATCACATTTGAGAACAGCGGCAATTACAGAACCGATAACTGATATTGGTGTGTTCTTTCCCTCATTAGAAGAAAAGATTCCTGAGAATTATGAAATTCTTCGATTTACACCTTCGGGACTTGATGCCGATTTAAATTTTGGATCAGTAAGAACCACTGCCTGTTTTATATATTTTAGGAGAGGTCGAGACAAGCCTCCTTTGGTTGATATAGGTGTCATGTACGATGGTCTTGAACGAATAATGCCTGATGCTGAAATTGTTTCAAAAACACCTGGCGACCGAGTTGCGAATGTTAACAACTCTTCATCGAAAATCTTCATCACATACCGTCGCGCTAAACCTAATGCACCGTGTAATGATCTCGTAGTAACGGACTTATGCGTTCTCATTCCCGGGAAAGGAGAAAAAGTTCCTCATGCCTTCTGTCAGATTCACAAAACATTGAATAAAGGGATGATGGGAAATGACGTCTATTTATGTTACAAAAAATCGATGAATCGTCCAAAGTGTATTAGTTACCAACCGGAGATACTTCATCGCTATCCAACCGTTGATCATTATGATTTCTCACTTAATTCATGCTCAAGTGTCCCTTTATTTTGCTTACCTATGGGAACAACATTGGAAGCTTGGCCTCACGTTTTTGATGGTGACGTAAGGAAAAAAAGAGAGGCAACTGCTCCTATTTTTAGTACGTTTGTGTTAACAGCAAATGATGGAACTTACAAAGTTTATGGGTCAGCTATAACTTTCTACGAGAACTTTAACGAACTTTATTTAACAGAACAACAAAAAGAGTTTTTTGAATGGAACAATCCCGAAATATGTAACTCATATTCACTTCACGTTAACAAGTCGATTTGTATTTTATCAAATTATCCATTTGGAGATTCTTTCGAGAAATGGTTAACGTTTGTTCATATGATGGCATCAAGCAATATGCCTATATCAATTCCTATTGAAAGATACATAATTCATCTACTTGATGAAGTGCCTTTTCCTGCTCCAAGCATTCTTCTACAAATGTCTTTAACAAGTTCCACTAGAATATTACTGACTCAGCCGGAAGATTCACCTTTGCCACGAAGTGGAGCTGGATTTCGCCAATTATTATCCAATTTAGGACCCGAGAATTGTCTTCATGTGTTACTTTTAGTATTGACTGAACAAAAAATTTTAATTCATTCTCTTCGGCCGTCAACATTAACAGCAGTAGCTGAAGCAGTGTCAACAATGTTGTTCCCTTTTAAATGGCAATGTCCCTATATTCCCCTCTGTCCACTTGGTTTAGCGGAAGTTCTACATGCTCCCGTACCTTATTTGATTGGTGTTGACTCTCGTTTTTTTGAAATGTATGAGCCTCCGAATGATGTCACATGTTTTGATTTAGACACCAATAATATAACATTATGTGAGTCACAAAAACATTTGACCACAAAGCTCTTGCCTAAAAGAGCTGCAAGAATCCTGAAATTATTTCTTAAAAAGTTAGAAGATGAAATGCTTGAGAATAATAGTTCAGAACAAACCAATAGTCTTGATCGTGATATCAAGAGGAAAAAACGTGATCAACACTTTGAACAAAGAATTCAAGAAACTTTCCTTCGATTCATGTCATCCATATTGCGAGGATATAAGGATTATCTTGTTCCAATATCAAAGGCACCTACAATTGGTGCAACAGATCCAACAGCATTGTTTCAAATGAATGCATTCCTTAGATCACGGGACAAGGCTTATCATAAGTTTTATCATCTGTTAATGAAAACACAAATGTTCATAAGATTTATCGAAGAAAGATCTTTCTTGTCAGATGGTGATAATAATTTGACTTTCTTTGATGAATGTACTGAACGTGTTTCTGCATATGACGACGATTCCGTGGAAATTAGATTCGTCGAATATGATCCTGGTCATTACAGTGAAAGAACGAAATTTATTTTGCCTCCAGAATTTGATGGAGTATCTGAAAAAACTTACAAATACACAAGTTTCGAGCTTGATCCAATGCGTTTTCAACAAAAGAGAAAAACACTGACATCAAATATTACACAACAATCAACTTTAGCCCCGAGTTCTCCAATATCACGAAGAACAAAGCATGAAATAAAGTCAGCGCAAAAGATTGCCAGAAAATATCAGAACAATCCGGAGGAATGGGCCAAATATTTGCTTGGAACTTGCTATTCATTATATTTCATCATTTTACCAAGTATCGTAAGTGACAGTTCAGAACAAAAACGAGAACATGAAACTATTCGAAACGCGTATAATCTACTAGCTAAAGCAACAAAACTTAAAATTCATGTTGATGAAGTATGCTTTCGAATCATGATGCAACTATGTGGATTGTATAATTTACCTATACTGGCAGTTCGACTCCATTATTTGATGAAAAGATCGGGGATTCAACCGAATGCTCTGACTTATGGCTTTTATAATCGCTGTGTACTGGAATCTGAATGGCCTCAAGAAACCACGATTTCTAGTCAGCTTCGATGGAGTCGTTTAAGAAATTTAGTTTTTGGTGCTGCTCATTTTAAACAAGCTGGAAAAGAGTTTGCTTCTAAGAGAAATATTTTAACTTCTCAAGAATATAACACAAATATGATGGAAAGTGTCGATGGAACATCACAAACAAGTTTGTGTTCGCGAAATTTCGGAGACGAAAATCAAAACGTCATCAATTCGAGCTTAAACTTTGCAGCCTTTGATAGAATAAGAAATCGTTTAGGATCAATAGTGAAAAATTCAGACAACCAAAATATATCGACAACTTTAACAAGCGCTGGGATTTTGATTTCTTCAGGAGAAGGGAATGTTAATGTCTCATCGATAAATCAAAAAAATTACAATCAAGATTTTAACTCTCAAATCATTTCTCAACAATCAGAAAGCTTTGCTGGAGATGCAAAATTCATTGATAAACTACAAAAACTTCATAGTAGGTCTAAAATGAAATGCCGAAAGCCGTTATCATTTAAAGAATCAGAAATAGCAACAAGCACTAATAACAACAACGAGAAAAGTAAAACATCGAAAGAGGAAAAATCAGAAAAAAATGAAAAAAGCATTCCACAGCCACCTAATGCAAAGTAACAAAAATATCATATTTAAATATTATTATAGTGATACTTATTCCCTGTTCTTTTCGTTTTACTAGAATTTTATCCCGAACTGTTGTTCTTGAAAACGATCCATTAGGTGCTTTGTTAGATACAGATCAAGATGAAACTGTTGACATTAAAAAATCAACACCCATGACGAGTGAACAAATAGAAAAGGCTCGTATTCAAAAGGCGATGTATTCCGATCAACCGATACTTTTTAAAGGACATCGGAGTGCAACATTTGAGAATGCGTCCAATCTTAATAAAGGAATTCATAGATCGGAAACAATGCCAACGCAGTCATTCACATCAAGTATCAGTAACTTTGGATCATCCTTAAAATTTGGTTTTAGGTAAGTTAATAATCGTATTAAAAGATTTTGCTTTATCCAATTTTCACACTTTAGTAATTTCTCGTGTGATAAAAATGGATTCTTTTTTGTAAAAAGACATTAAGCAGAGAAAAGACATCACAAATCCCTGAAAAAAGTTCCTGATTAATTTATTCAAGCAAAAAATGTCCATTTTCCAAGAATTTGGTCAGTTTTTCTTAGAATTTGTCATTGAAACTTTTTTCTTGAATGATGCTTTTGGCGGCCATTTTTCGTTGAATTATTTCTTTATAAATTTTATCTCTCTTTTAAACTTAGTCCTGGTTTAAGTGGCAAGAAGTCGAATGAAATCTTTCAAGGTGGAATAAGCAGTATAAAAAGTGCAGCAACAACCGTTGCAAAAAAATTTGACGAAATTAAACATTCAATTTCAAACAATAACCCTGAGACAAATGGAGCTACATCAAATAGTTCAATTTTTGAGCCTAATACACATTTAAATGTTTCAAACGATGATTTATTGAATGATGAAAAGAAAAACGTTCGACAACGTATTGGAAGTGATCAGAACTTGTGGGGATTATTGAATGATTCAAGAAAATCCAGCTTCAATAATTTATCGCGGTTAGGAATAACAACATCAACAAATAGTTTAAACACGTACCCAACAATACTACCGGAAACTATTTATGTACAGGATGAGAATGATTCATTCAGTAAAGAATGTGATATAAAAATTGAGATAACATCATGTTGTCAATGTCACAATTGTTCAGTACTTATGTATGACGAAGAGGTGATGGCAGGCTGGGTAGCTGAAGATAGTAACTTAAACACATTTTGTTATGCTTGTGAAAAGCAAACTGTTCCTTGTCTCGAAGTTCGAATTATTACTGATGAAACGCTGAATAAGGTTTCAAAACTAACGGAAACCTTGAACATTCCTTATTTAAATCCTTTGGTGCTCAGGAAAGAACTGGAAAGTATTCTTGCGGAGGAAGGCGACATAAGTGTAAAAGAAACAAAATTTGTCGATGAGCATCCAATTATTTACTGGAACCTTTTATGGTAAGACATAATCTCATCTGACTCATTTTTTTCAAAATATTATTAATAAATATTCCTTGTTCTCAAAGGTTTATGGAAAGAATTAGTGTTGCAACACATCTTCCGAATTTAATAATTCCAAAATACATGAATAATGAAACAGTTGATCCATTGAGCAATTTGAAAACAGTTTCAATTCAATGTCTGTGGGACAATCCAAGAATTCATCCAGAATCAATATCTCTTTATACAGTGTGGAAGGAAACTCAACCATCTAGTCCTTTACTGAAAGCGCTATTAACTGATCAAACTTATTTGAATAGAATGTAAGTAAAGCAAGGTTATATATGGGTAAGATTAAGCCAGTGATTTTAAAAAGTTTCCAAATGAAAAATGTAGGTAATATTTTAATCTGGCTTATACTATTATCAATTAAAAGTATTTTAAAATATGAATCAATTTTCTAAACTAGGTACCTATATGTTAATAATAATATAAACACCAGCCTGACTAAAGCTTTAATCTTAATTTAGAAAGTTTATAACCCGAGCGGCACACACTCGCCGTGCCGGAGGCATACGGCTGCACTGTGGCGATTTTACATTGGTACTCCCTTTGGCTTTTTCTTCAGAAATTGCCTTTTGTGCCGCTCGGGTAACTCACATATCATCCACATAGTTTAGTCAATTGATTCATATTTTAAAATCATCATTCCTTCTTATTCATAGCTAAATTGGAATAATTATTTTCTTCATTTGGAATCTTTATCTCTAAATCATCACTAGCTTAAAATTCTGCATATCCAAAGTTTGTTTCCGACAAATAAGAAACACAAATTATAAATTTTATTTTTAGATCTCTTCAGCAAATAGTTTCATACATTCGATGCAATGATTTAATGACACCTGTAAAAAGATTAGCCAACGAACGGAAAAAGATGAAAAATCATGATATTCAAAGGACCAACTCAATATATCGCGATGTTTTGTTCCTGGCATTAGTAGCTATAGGCAGAAGTAATATAGATATTCAAGCTTTTCATCGAGAATACGCAAATGTATTCGAGAAATTGACGATGATAGAGAAGAAAGAAAATATTTATCACAGTCAAGATTTACCACCTACGTCAGCTGCATTGTTCTGTAGAGCTTACTTTAAACCTTTGCTTTTGTTGCCTTGACCTAAATTTCTATTTAATTTTATGAACTTTAAATATTGTTAATTAACAAGATTTTTATATTTATTAGCAATCAAATCGAAATTTGAATGAAAGTTCTTATCGTTTACAATGAAAATAATTTTGGAAATGTATCTAACCCCATTATGAAATTCAAAACGGTTAAAACAATTAATAGAATATTTTCAAATCCAATATCACTCATTTTTGTCTATGTACATGTTTTGACAGATATGTATTTAGTTTATATATATCCAAAACTTATTAGAAAATTGTTGGTACATTGAAAAACCTTTGGACTAAATCATTTTTCACTCTTACTGTTATTATAAACGAAAGTATAGTTATCTTAGCACAGTTATAATATTAAAAAAAAAATAATAATATCATGCTTACACAATTGCCTTTTTGAGCATATGAAAATCAATTAGAGAATACGCGAAATATTCAAAATTTTAATGATTTCTACAAATAATTAAACATATTGAAAATGTCAGAATATAATAAATAAATACGAATATGTATATTCATAAAGAGATTTTCCTTATTATTTACAACTTTCAATTTACTTCTTTGAATTTTTGATAATTTTAAATTTAATCAACCTTCCATTTGTTTTCAGACTGAGATAGTACCTATTTTGTGACATTTAGTCAATCCCTAAACCAAATGCTGCTTTATAGTTGTTGAGAATTTGGATTTTAACTATAAATACAGGGATATACCTTAGGTAGCAGCAAATTTGAGTATTTTATCAATTTGCACAATGCTAATGGTGAACAATATAAAAAATAATGTTTATGTTTTGAGTTGCATTATATGTGGCTTTTTTTGAAAATCGAATCACTTACCACATACGCACATATACGGTAACCTTTTCAGTAGAATTTATAAGTAAACTCAAATTTTCATAGATTTAACTCGACTCTAACTAACGATCTTCAAGTATCTTACAATCACAAGCTCATTAACTTTTTCCACAGAATGAATCTAAAATTCTGCAGTACAACAAAACATAGGTATTTTAGCTACTCTCTTACATGTACGTAAACAGATTCGCGAAAAATGATCATAGTTAAAACTTATGAAGGAGCATTTTTATACGTTACTTACATTCATAATGTTTAAACAGGCTATATATATTATCGGTCAAGAATTTTTAATTTAATTGAATACAAGAAATGATCTAGAAGCTGCAGTTCTGTGGAATTCGATAAGGTTATCGTTACTGCGATTGATTTTTTTTGTAAAAGTGTCACACAAATATGCACAGTATGGAATATTAAACATCCACAGAATATAGCAAAAAATATTAATTGCAAATAGGTACCTAATATAAGACATTGACTTGATTTCTGTGATTCAAAGTGCCAGCAAAATAGAAGGAATTATTTTAATGATTTCTAACGGTTTTTAGTTTAAAATGTTCGGATATAGGTATTTGCCTCTTTTATATTTTCAGGAAATATTTTTCGATATCGAAAAAACCAAATTCTACCTACATAGGAAGGAATATTTATTTGTCAAATAAATATATTTTAAGCGAAGCTGAGAAAGAAATGCCTCTTCCTAGTACTTTACTGCATCGTCTGGCACAACGGGGAATAGTGAATATTGAAAAATCTAGAGAAAAAGGTATGTTATCTGCATTATCATAAATAGCTTCTACAATTTATTGGCAAAAACTATTTTTTTTTATTTTATTAGAATGTGAAGAAACTTTTGCTGAAGATTATTCTGAAAAAGATGATGTTAATCCCGAAAATTTTGAATATCACACGAAGAAACGAGATGATAATATCTGGATGGTAAAAGTAAAACGAAGGTTTAAAGAAACAACAAAAGGTGTTAAAGGTTGTCCCAACAAGTGGAACGTTTTCCATATTTGTACAGTTTTCTGTCTTGAGAGATGGGGTGAAGGACAATTAAAACCATCAAAGAGTTATAAAGAAAGATATAATCGATTAATTAAACGATATCCTATACCAAAAAATTGGATAAATGTGTGGGATCCTGGATGTGAAGCATACTACTTTTGGAATCAATTAACAAACGAAGTTTCATGGCTGCCACCTAAACATCCCAAAGCTATAGTATGTAAGGCTGCTGCGATGTTAAGACGAGAAAAAGATAAACCAGAAATGGACATAGAAGATGAAGAAACATTATGTGTTACAAACTCTCTACCGGAAGAAGAAGCACAACAAAGATCATTAACAGTTCCGAAAAAGGTCAAATCGCGCGATCTCGACAAGATTCTTAGATATAAAAAATTTCGAAAGCACGGTCAAGAATATTCTGATATCTTAGACCCAATGGATCCTGCATCATACGGAGATTGTGCGAGAGGAAGTTGGAGCTCTGGTCTGGATGTAGACAATGAAAATGGATCAAATTCCAAAGAGTCTAAACAATTGTCTAAGGAGAAATCTATTGAAATTAATAAAAATCAAAATTCCACAAACACATCTCCTTCATAAAATAACTTGATGAGTTTAAAAACGAATCTCATAAGTGACCACAATAAAAAAAACTTCTAAACATATTAAAAACCAATATGCTTCGTGTAGTTTATTGTAGCTTTTAGGAATATCATTTCACATTGCTTCGGAAACCAGAGATTAAAATTTGATTACGTTTCTTTATAGTTTCTATATGCACAGGACATTGAAGAAAATTAATTAAAAAACTGTCTCGTAAACTGTTCTTCGGATTTTACATCTTATTATGGTCTTATTTAAGTTTTCTTTAATTATCTGATAATTCTTAAATAGTTCCCTCTCATTATCTTGTATATTCCAACAATCATGCATGAAGTATTTATAAATAGGTAGGTAGGTACTTACCTAAGCTATTTTTTTTAACGGAATGTTTTGCATCGAAGATGCGATAATTTACAAATAACACATATACCTAAAACACTGGAGTTAAATATTTTAGAGCAAAATGACAGACATACGGCGTAGAAAACATTTCAATTCTTTGTCACCTTTATTAAAATTAGATGTGTTTGAAATGAATAAGTTACCTGAAGAAATTGAGCAAAAATCAATCATTGGTTGCTTTTATATTTTATATTTTTTGTTTTTATAAAAACTTAATTGTAATTTTTTATTATAGGTGGCACAATATCTTTTCTATCTCGAATATTGATTGGATTCATGATATATAAAGAAATGCAATACTATTTTGATACTTCTGTTGCTTTTAAATTTATTCCTGATGCTGAAATACAATCGAAGCTTAAATTTAATTTGGACATAACAGTGAAAATGCCTTGTAATAATATAGGAGCAGATATATTGGATAGCACAAATCAGAATACGTTTTCATTCGGAACCTTAGAAGAAGAAGATATTTGGTGGGATCTTTGCCCCGAACAGGAAAAGCATTTCAATTACATGAATCATTTAAACCAGTACTTAACAGAAGAATATCATTCAGTTGCAGAAATATTGTATAAATCCAATGAAAATTTTGATCTCAAAATGCCTGAAAGAAGTCTTCGACCCGTTGAACCTTATGATGCATGCCGTATTCATGGCACTCTGACTGTAAACAAAGTTGCAGGAAATTTTCATATCACAGGAGGAAAAAGTCTCTACTTTCCGCAAGGACATTTACATTTGAATATTATATTTGGTGAAGTTCCGGCAAATTTTAGTCATAGAATCACAAAATTGAGTTTTGGTAATCCTCAATCTGTTATCGTTCAACCGCTTGAGTACGAAGAAAAAATTATAACTGATGGTTAGTGTTTCTATTTATGTATCTATTAGGATATCTGAGTACAGGCTTGCATAACTTTCTTGTACAACTCCTTCTCCTTCAACTGTTAGCTTCGTGTTTGATTATACCCTTTGTTACTACTTATATACCTAATTATTTAAGATTTACATTTGAACAAGGAGTTACGCTTCCAGTTTGTACTTAGTGTTTTCCAAAAAAGTTTATGAAATCCATCTCACTTTCAAATTTATTAATTTCATAATATTTCAATATATTTTAATATTATCTTCTTTATACTTATCAGAAAAATCGCTCATTATATACTATATTGAAGTGGTTCCAACAGATATTGAAACATTTAGATCTCACATTAAAGCTTATCAGTACAGCGTCAAAGAAAATATCAGACATATTGGTAAGAAAATACCTAACATAATACTAAAGAAATTTTAAAAATAATTTATGTGTATTCTTTTGTTTTAGATCATAATCAAGGATCTCATGGGACGCCTGGCATTTATATTAAGTATGACATGAGTGCGCTAAAAGTTAGAGTTCTGCGGAATCGAGAAAATATTCTGAAGCTTCTGATTCGTCTGTGTTCTGTTACATCTGGAATTATTGTAATTTCACGAATTATAAATAGATTTCTTCAAAAATTATTTGAGAATTTCCTTAACGTCTTCGCACCTGGCAGCTATGCAATGATCCAAGAAAAATCGTCATTGAATGCGAATTCTCAAAATAGCTCCAACATGTTCGAAGTTTTCACAGACGTTAATGTCATTTAATGTCATTTTTGCTGTTAGGTACTTTTCTAAACACTTCTCTCAAATTTCGATAAAATTAAGGTCATTATATAATCAAAGTTACTTTTAAGTGATGTTATTCCTAAGAGATTTCATATAGGGTTAGTCAAAAGAGCGGTATACATTTCAAATGCCGTTTTTTTGGTATAAAAACCAATCACAACCAGCAAAAGATCAGCATACGGTTTCTTAAAAAAAATTTAATTTGAAATTTATAAATCTTCCAAAACCGTTCAAAGGATAATTTATTGATTTTTTAGGTATTTATAAATTACGATTTTTATATGAAAATAAAAATAAAGTTCACTTTAACTTTTTACACAAAAAAGACCTAACAACGGTGGTAATTATTAACGGTGGACCTTAAAAAAGTTTTCGTCTTGAAAATCCTGATTGAAATTTTGAGTCCACAAAAAAATTTGATCAACCAAGAAAAAAATTCTTAGACCACCGTAAATGTCTGAAGAAAATTAAAAAAAAACTCATGAAATCCAAAACAAAATTCTTATCGAGCAGAATTAGGTAGGTATATCTGCTGTGTTTCATAAAATATGTCTGTTTATTGAACAAATCTTTATTTTGAAGAAAACTTAAAGTATATTTTTTTAACCGGTTTGATATCTCGAATTTTCGAACCACTGCTTTTTCGATTCCAGTTTAGGTTTCAGGTTTTATAAAATAGATAACTAAATTTCAAATCCCAAATCTGATAAAATCACAATCCTTTTACAAACTCATATTTATTTTTTTGTGTACTGCTGTCAGCTATTGACGAGTGCTGCGAAAAAAGTATTGCAACATCCAGAAAAAAATATAGGAAAACACACGTTGATGCATAACGATTGCCGTTCGGGTATATGTAAAGGTATATTTTCGTAGGTTTTCGACAATAACTGGATTGTATTTTCCAGTGTAGAAGCCACCGTTATAGCGGCAAATGCGTGATTGTGACAAAAAGATTTTTCTCTAATTTATAAACTTTTATTTATAACTTATATATTTAGCTTAACTTAACGAAGTTGGACATACTTTGAAAAGCTAAAAGCTGCTGAAAAGAACAAAGTTTTCCCATGTGTAAAAAGTTTTCCTCAAATTAATCCAGTTCATGCTTTTTACATAATTTTTGTAATAAAATGATAGATTGTTAAGTGCTTAACTGTTGCTAATTTAGCAAAGTACCCTACTTGTCTTGAGTTGCTTAATGCTTTCTTATTATGTTTCTCATTTTACCAAACGCACGTGTTATTGATGATGGTATTAATTCTTTCACTCTTACCACCACAATATTAACCGGTGTTGTGAGTGCTTGATGTGCGCGTAAAAGAGCTAAACTCTAATTTTCTTCTTTTTTAGCGTGCATCTTTTGTATATAAATATCAACGGTTTACTTGATTGAGGTTCAGAAGTTTTCTTAAGTCGTTAGAGGTAATACTGAAAATAAAGAGATATTAATATTCATGTAGTTAGCTTTCGAAACCATTTTAATATTTACTATAATAGTTCAAATAGTTTGAAGTTTAAAACATAAATATCTTAAGTATTTATTTCAACTTAGAAATTTGTTATTTTTTGTTTAAGTGGCCAAAAGTACATCATAAATAATGTATTGTGTCTTCAACAAATGTCTTTGATAATATCTCCATGAGAAAATTTTACCATTTTCGCAAAAAAAATCTTATCAGTTATTTAAAAATTATTTTGTGATTCTTTATTCAAAAAAATAATATATTTTTTAAATGCTTTAACGCAATTTTATTGCAATCAACAATCTATAAAAAAAAATTTAAAAACAAATAGGTATGGAAAAAAATTAATTCTCGTGGATTTTTTTTGCATAAAAGTGAAAAATTAAGAAGATGTCTAGTTTAAAAGTGAATACGTGTAGAAATAACACACAAAATTAGAGATACCGTTTTATTTATATGTATATTGATTGCAAAGTCCCGTTTAATTTGCTCTGTTTGAAGTTCAATTCTGCATATGTTGATAATGTAATTAATATAGCCGATATTTAAGGAAATATTGAAGTAAAATTCAGAAATAAAAATTACAGCTTATTAATGAATTGTTAAAAAATATGAAAAAGTTTATCTGAGAATATTACGTTAAAGCATTGGTAAAAAATATGTGTTTATGTACATTTCCAATTTAAATGATGTCTTGATATGAGGTCAATTAATCTGTTATTCCTACAATCAAATAGAAATTTATTTTTTTTTGCGGTAGTGTTTTAAAACTCTAATTTGTGTTCAATATTCCCAAAAGAAATTATAGTTTAAAGAATTATGAAGATCTCAACAATTTTCTGCCTGGCTATTTTTCTTGGAGGATGTTATTTTGTTAGTGTAGTTGCCAATCCTATACAAAATAATGTGTTTGATCCAAAAACGGAAATTACTGCAAAACAGTCAGGTCCTGTAGTGAACCCAGCAGTGCCTGGTAATGAACAAGATGATGATGATGATGACGACGATGATGGTATTATTTTTACATAAATGTTATATATACAGTAGAATTTTATATAGCAATAAAAGAGAGGCTTAAGAGAGACATAAAATATCGAGCATATCGTTCTATAGAGTGAATGTTACATTAAACTTCTACTATATATATATTTATATATATATATATGCATGACCTACATATATTATATATATTCATTAAGTATAATAATTTAATCATATATATATATACCATAATTTAAAAAGATGATGACGATGATGATGAACTCGATGATCCGTTCGGTGATGATGAAGATGATGAAGGTATGTGAAAAAAATAAAATAAAGAATGTACCAAAAATATCTTATAATAGACGATGATGACGAGGAGAATGTAGCGGCAACCGGAAATCAAGCCCCAGGTTCAAATCAACAAGTATCAGATGATGAAGGTAAAACTGATTTTGGGTTAAAATAATGAAAATTTTTTAAAATCAAGATATTGTAACAGAAGACGATGATGAAGACTACATAGAATCCCTTTTTGATGGAATCCTCGGAGATGATGGTAGTTGACACGAGCAAAAACTCGAACCGTAAAAGAAATGTTCGTTTTCTTTTCTGATTCGAGTTTCGTCTCAGATAATTAATTTATGGAAAGAAATATGCTATTGTGCTTTGACAAAAATACTTCAATCAAGCAGATGACGATGATGATGAAGACGACGATGATGATGATGATGAAAATCTTCCAGCTTCTTCCCAAGCCAATCAGCAAATATCATCATCAGCAGCTTCAATTGATAGCCCAGTATTAAATGAAGTTATTTTGCCTGGAGATAATTCAGAAGACCCTCAAAATTTAAATAACGATGTTGATATATTAAATAATAATGATGCAAAAGATCCATTGCAATTAGCTCAAGATCAAGTAGCAACTGTAAACAATAATATTGACCCAGTTGGCAATGAAGCTATCGTGGACGATGAAGATGGTAGGCCTCTAAATTTATATATTTTTTTATTACTTTTGTTTTAACTTAAAATTCTAAATTTTAATATATAGATGATGATGAAGATGATGATGACGATATTGAAGATGCTTTAGATGATGATGGTAATTATTTCCTTAAAAAATCTAAACTAGTACACTTACTTTTATAAAATTACTTTGTTACTTAATTCAGATGATGACGATGATGATGATGATGAAGGTAAGTCTCGAAACACTATGCTTTTTTCCTGGTTTAATTAGAATATATACATAGATGACGATGACGATTTAGACGGCGAATTGATTGAAGCTAAGCATTCAAGTAAGTATATAAAAGAAAATAAAACTCTAGGTGCAGTTAGAATGAAAGTTTATTTAACATAATAGATTGGTGGCCGTAACACTGAACCTGTAATAAACTGGCACACACGACCGACCTACATTTTTTTTTCTTGAAACAAAACAAGTTTAAAACACTTCAAATTGTCTCAGAAGGAACTTTCTTTATTTAATTTCTTTTTAAAATCATTCGCATATTTCATGTATGTATTTAAAAAATTTATAATGATTCAAAAATCTTGCGACATCCTTTCTTTCATCTGAAAGCATTGAATTAAAAGAGTTCTTAAACTAATCAGCTAAAAATATGTTGAGAAAATGGTTTTCCTAAATACATTTGATTCTTTTAAAACTACATTGACTCATGAAAATCCCAAATGTGATACATAGTAGACGACAAAGTATCATAGAGGTACACGTATGTGACCAAAAGTCTTTGAATCTTCAAAATTACCAAATGAAAAAAAAATGAAAATAAGTTTGACACTCTGGTTTAAATTTGTCCAGTGAAAATTAGATTAAGGTTACATAAAGTTGAGACATTTCCGCTACACAAAAACACTTTATTTACTTTATAAGTTTGTTGAAAGCAACCGCAATTCATAGCCTACTTCTTGTGATTTTATTTTCTCTCAGAACTTCATTCAATTTTATCAATACAAACGCATCGTTTATAATAATATTTTGAAGCTGAGATACAACACAATAATTGTATTACTTGTACGTTTTACATTTTGATACGTATCCATTTAAGGTTCACGTGATTAATGGGGGGGGTTCCAATCTTATTATGATGAAATTTAAAAAAAAATCTTCCTAAAAAATAATAACACTGCAGGGTTTATGCGCAAAAAATCTATTGTACCTATATAGGTATTTTTATTCTTCGAAAGTAAACGAAATATCTAAGTGTAAGAATTAAATAAACCTAAACTTTTACCAATGACGTTTTGACATATTCATTTGTCAGATTTACGTTGTTTTTGCAACTGACTTCATTCTTTATTCTTTTCACCTTATTATACCGTTAAATGTTACGACCTTGCTTACCTCCATTTTTATGTTTATCATTTAATGCAAATATCAGTTTGGGTTTCCGTATAAGCTCTGAGCACCCTTTATTTTCTCGATAATACGATATTTTTCTGAAATCCTTCAATATCGCACTATCAAGAGTATAATGTGAAATATATAAAAAAATGTTTTACTCAATAGGATCTTTGGAAGAAGGAACTACATCAATGCCCGATATATTTGTAATCAAATATAACAAATTTGTTGATGGAATTTTTGAAAGGATCAATGCCATTTTGAAAAGAAGTTATGATCCAGTTAATGTCCATTTAACTATGGAAGGAGCAGAGCTTAAAGCAATTAAAAAGAAAACGAATAAAAAGTAAGACTAATTTGTATTTTTTAAGAAATTTCTCTTGACGATATATTGACTTTGTTTAGGCAAAAAAAGAACAAGAAAAATAAAAAACAACCGCCAACGGCTCGTAACGCATTTGAAGAGAAGTTCGAGAAAATATCAACTAGCCCAGTAGTTGAAGCCATTGACCAAAATCATAAATCAAGATTAAATGGTGGTTCAATTAGACAAAGGAACAACCAAACAAAACAAGATAATTTCAAAAACGCCAGAGCTACACTTTATGGTCTTTCATCTCTAAAAAGAAGTGGAAATGTAAAGGTTAATCAACTAGCTCAACATACCACAATAAAAAGTAATTTTATTCTTGGCCCTTTAATGTTAAAAGTTGAAAAAATTACTGGACGTAATGAGAAACGAGAGATAAGAATGGCTACAGCTACAACACATGAAATATATGGAAAAATAAACATCAGAGTCATTAACGGGAAAGCTTCCTTACATTCAATAAAAGTTCAACAACCAAAACAGGTGAAAGTTGATGCGGCTGACAACCATATCCATAAAAGACAGTATTCTTGGGAGAAGGAGTTTAGTGTTGCACGTGCAGTATCTCATAAATTAAGAAAAGTAGTGAAAAATCTGTTTTAATTATTAGCTGCAATCTAAACAAGTTAGGTATATCATATACAAATATAAGTCAATATAAGTATATTTACATATATTAATTATCTAATGCTTTCATTGTTTTTTCTGGTAATGAATAAATGATTTCGGAAATTTACATTAAAATTCTTCGCTTCTATTCATATGTTTATATTTTACATTTATACATTTGTCTATTGTGTTGTAACGGTTCACATAAGTTATAAAGAATGGACAAGACATTTGTGAGTCCGTGCGTCTGTGATAGGATAAAATCATCAGGTCCAGGTTCTTTGATGAAAAACTCCATATGTTGAATTGGGTAATTATGGTTCACAACAGTTTTAACTGGTAAAACCACCCGTTATGCGTCCACCCAATATATAGGGATAAAAGTCAATAACCTTCTCAGTTATTCCTGTAACAGAATTAGAGTTTGCAAAAGGTCGAGTTTTGAAAGCTCGGGTGGTTCCATAATAACTGTTGCTAAATATTGCTTTTGAAGATTATTATATTACAGTTTAAAAAAAATTAAAATCGTGATTTTAACTAAGTTTAACATTTAGAAGACTTTCATTTATTTTTATTCATTTCATCATAAGGTGTTCCTACCTAGGTAGACATCGGTGCAACATTGTTTCAAATTCTATATTTACGCATTTCTGATAACAAGCATGGTACATAATGTAAATTCATTAATACTTAAAATATTTACCAAGTTAGTTCTCGTTTGTTTAAAGAATTATTTTATGTTCCTGTTCAACAATATACTATATTTGATAATATGCTTCGAACGTTTGAATATCAAATGTTTTTTTTCCTATTGATAGCTAATTTCATTATTTTTTTTATTAATCTTGACATTACGTCAAGGCCTAATCTTCATGCTTTTTGTTTAATCGTACCATAGAATTTTCCATTGTAGGTATCATTAGATTTTACTCATGCTAAAATTTTCGTTGCATAAATTGTGTTTTCCGAAACATTTTCCACTATAAAAATTTATGATCGAAATCGTTTCTGAAAGATCCGATGTCAAATATCATAGGCGAAATTCAGAGACAAACAACACAGCATAATTTCTTTTCGCTAATAAGACCAAGTCCCTACGATTTGGAGCTATCATTTTCAATAGTGATTAAATCGTCTTCAATATTGAAGATAATATGAACATAAATAATAAAATATCAAAAAAAATTGGATCGAAACTTTTACGTCCAACACGAAGATAATGAAACTTTAAAATTATCTTTTCAAAGAGAATATTGTATAATTGGATGCACGCCGAGTTTCTTTTGACGTTAGAAGATAATTTCCTTCACGATTTCTGGGCCTTGAACAACTTACGTTCTTCGAGATCAATCGTGTGACTAGGCATAAAAGGCTCGTTATTTTTCTTCCAAAACTTTTTGTTGTTTCATCAACTTTCGATGATCTTCACTTAATTCTGCTTCGACATCTTTATGACCTTTCTTAAAGTTGTTAATCTCAATAAGCGATGAATGTGATAATTTTATATAGCTGTCTAATGCTTCTTCTAAAGACATCTCAGCTTGTGCAAGGAAATCATCTTCTTGCATATCCTTCAACGCTCTTATGGTTTTATGACAAAAAAGATAAAATCAATGTTTATATAGATATTTGTTCAGATTCCCGACAAAAAATTCATCCAATTGCCTTATGAAAATTTCGGTAAAATTATTGGAAAATCCCTCAAGCCACAAGTTTTTTCACAAGGCATCTCGCTCGGACTGCAGTCTCACCCGGACTGGAGTTTGCCCCGACTTTGGATGGGAGGTCAAATCCACGCAAGTCGATCCATGAAAAACATATTTTCGATCAAAGAAAATTTAGTAGTTTTGCATACCCTTTTCGAATATTACGCCATCTAGCGGAAGTTGAAAATTTTAAAACGAATAAAAAAGGATTATAGCTATATATTTGTATAAATATTTATGTATATATATAACAAAAAACATCTATTGTGGATGATAGCTTGAATAATTATTCCGAAATGGATCAGGAAGAATCAATAGCGATAGTATGTAGTTAACCATATATTTTGAAACTTTAACATTTTCGTGAAGAAAAAAATTCTGACATTTTGAAAAAAAAAAAATATTGCGTTTAAAATGATTAACTTCATTTTTTCTTTAGAATGGAGCACTTCAAAAAGACGATGAAATAAGAAGGAATCATAAAAAACGTACCAAGGATTGTTTTTTACTATTTTGTGAGGTAGTCTTACAGCACGAAAAAGAACTTTTAAGTGAGGTACTTACTTGTTGTTGATTTTAATATTTGTTTTTGTTTTTATTCAAAAAGCGAAATAAAAAAAGATTAAACAATTTCTCATGTTCATATAGACTTTAAGATCATCACAAGAGTTACTTAACGAAAAACAAATACCAGACAAGCAGAGGAGTAATGGAATTGTTGATAATAATGCAGCCATTAATTTTGATACTGACCGTGATATTTATAAAGGTAAATATTCTTTATTCCATCAAAATCATGATTGAATAACTAATTTTCATTATCATAGAAGAAAGTAGTGAGGAAACTGAAAGTCCTGGTGACAGTTTCAATTCAGTGACATGTTTTTGTGGGAAACCTTTTGCTGGGCGTCCCATGATAGAATGTTCGGGCTGCCTCACATGGCTTCATATGTCTTGTGCAAAAGTTAAACGCAAGAATATTCCAGAATTTTATTACTGCGATGGTTGCAAAGATAATGGATTTCTATCGCCTTCAAGTAACAATGTGAAGCTTTCGTCAGTTTCCTCTGGCGAAGAAGTAATTATGGATATTCCTAAAAATAATTATCAACAAGATGCTATGAATTCAAAAAACACAAGTTCTGATGGTTTCATTGCAAGAAATCAAAATCAAAACCCAACTATCACAAAAAAAAACAAAATTAAAAAATCAAAGATGATAAAAAGAAAACTGAACTCCAGTTTATTGATGAGCACTAATGATTATAATGTTAAGAATAATTCTAGTGATACTGAGTATTTGTCTGGTGTCAGTTTAAAGCGAAAATTAAAGAAAATACATCATAAATCAAATGCAACAACGAAAAAAAGTCAACCAAAACTAACAATATCAAATGCTTATACAAGCACAGTTGAAACAACAGTTCCATCGCTTACAGAGTTCTCAATAAACCATCAAGTCTCGACAGTAAACAATATAATGTATTCCAAAGGAGATGAGGACTACGGAAATTCATCAGTCAAATTATTGAAAAAAATACCTATTCTTACAAATAATAACATTTACAACAATGTTTCTGAAACTCATGGAATTGTGAGCACTGCAACTAATGCAGACGGAATTAACAAACGCCTGAAACTGCTTTAATCAATGGAAAAGGGATTTTTTCTTCTCTGAGCTCTTATTTGAATCAAACGGAAAAACGAAAAAAATAAGAATAAAGTATGCATCTGGTAAATTCTTCCACTAGAAATCTCCAACAACTCAAAGTCGCTTTATCATATGAGGATAAAATGGGTATTTAAACAAAGTGAAAAGAGCCAAAATTCCTATTTCGTATGAAATTAAAAAAAAAAGTTTCAGCATGTTAGTTTTTATAATTTGTTCTTAACTCAGTCGTGAGTTTGTATAATTTGAACCTGTAAAGTTAAATTGAAAATATTAATTTTTGTTGATAAAATTGTCCAAAACTGTTTTTGATATTTAGGATTGAGATAGTTCTGTGTCATTTTATGAGATCTTTTTAATAGTAGGTACTTGAGTCACAACTGTGGAACCTTTTTTTAGAAACCTATGCTAACAGTCGTATTCTTTAAAAAAGATAATAATAATAAAAACATTTTAATTTAGAATATGTTCGCTGGGAATTAAATCTTTTTGTGAATAGCAAAATCAGTCCAAATTGAATTTCAAATACATTTGTATGAGATATTTTGAATGAAAAATGTAATCCTTGCTAGGAGACTGTGAAGATATCGTTGCCCTGTTTGTTCACAAATCATTTTCGTAATACAAGAAATCAAAATTTATTAAGTGAACATTGTTTGTCGTTTGAATCTTTTAACATTTTTGCGAACAAGCATGCCCAGCAACTCTTTTTGAATTTTCACATACAATTTTTGCATACAATTTTTCTAAGCCTATACAAAATGCGCTCACTAGATAAAAAATCTATAAATATCAATACAAATCGATTGAAAAATTATTGTTCGCAAAGCTGAACGTTTTCAAAATCTGAGCGAGAAAATGTAAGTTTTTATGATTTTCTTGAAGGAGACTCTATGGTTTAGGTTCAAAAGTCAATAAGCTCTAACTTTCAAAAACCTCCACGATATAAATTCTTCGTTCGTCCGGAATAAGAATTTAATTTTTTTGTTTTAGTGAAGCAAATAAAGATATGATACAACGATATCTTAAAAAAGAGATGACTTAATTCAAATCCAATTTTTTTTTTTAAATAAAATTCAATATTTTCTCTATGAATATGGCTGTTATTGTGTCCATAAGATGTGTCGCTTAGCTCACCAAATCCTCATTGATGATATATTTCAGTCTGTTTTATGAATACTTTTTCTTAAACATATGCATATCGAAAATTCGAAAAAACTCGGTTTCAGACATCCATCTTATTTCAAATCTGTAGAACTTATCCTATACTTTTATTTTTAAGTGATTAAGGATTTTAGAAATCTGTTCACTTCAACAAAAAATGCTTGCTTTCCATCGAGGCAATCATTCCTTTATTACATATATTCTTTTAGATGCATCAATGTTCTAAGTGAGCAGCACTTTTTAGGTAATTTAATAATGATTTCGTATTAAAATCAGTTGCCTACTTTTCTACTAATCATAAAGATCCACGAGAGGAAAACAATTTTATTAGCAGAACATGTGAAAAATTCGTCATATTACTTAGAAAATATCAAAAATATCTTTGTCTGAGTTTTCCTATCATCCCTTTCCCCTTTAGCAATCTTTATTTAAAAAATGATTGTTTAAAATTGATTATCCCTTCATTGATTATCATTTTTAAATAATCCACTTACAATTTTGTAACAAGCATATAAAAAAAGCAAGATTAGGTAAATTTAAACTGAAATTTCCTACAATTCAATTTGCTATAAATTTAAAATATTCATAAAGAAACTGCAATCCTACCTACCGAAGACATAAATATTCATCATTATCGAAGATCAAGACTTTTAGAAATTGGAGATTTATAGAAATGTTTATGTTTGTGTGAATGGAATTCTATAATATCAACTTTCAGAATTATATTAATATAATAAATAGATTAAATGTATATAAAAGTTATATAAAACGTCCCTGCGGATTGCGATATTTCATATCTACGTTACAGGTAACAGAAAACAAAATATATCAAAAATATGTCTTTGGTAAGATTGAATTTTTCATATGAATAGCAAAAATTCAATTCGATTTGAATTTCAATTACGATTGAATTTGTAAAAGATTTCCATTCACATCTAATTCCAAAGTTCTTGACAAACAAATTTCTGCTTTTTTAATAAGTAAATATCTGCGTTGTAAATAAAAAAAGAAAACATCATATAAATAAAGTTCGGATTGAATATAAATTGATTATCCTTTTGTAAATATTATTTTGGGCTATCTATGTATTATTAGACCACTCCCGTGACAATACCCATTAGGAATTCATTTGGATTGATATCTTTTATAAATTCAATTCTAATTGAAGTTTTGGTGTTCATGAGAAATTTTCAATACAACCAAGGTATGCAAGTGAATATGTCAATAATTTTTTTTATTATTTACTTTGAATTTTGCTATAGATCTAGATAGTCAATAAATACAAGATAGTTAAAAAAAATAGTAATAGATCAAATCAGTATATCATATTATGATGCACATTGAAAAACATTCCATAAGAAAATTACTTATAATTTTTATTTTTATTACAGTTATTATTTTTATAATATTTTAATAATTTGCTTTATTTTTTAAATAATAAATTATATTAATATTACAATTTTTATTTTTAATATTATTTATTTTATTATTCAATGTTATTATCATTTGTATGCATATGTATTTTTAAAATAATTCCTCTGAAATCTTATTCAATCGCATATATTTTCTTATACATATTTCTATGAATACGGCTGAAACTTTAGGGGTAAAAAGGTCAATGTTGAGAATATAAGAAGATTTAGTCTGAATCACTATTTTCAGTATTGTTGAAATCATCTAGAGTTATTTTCAAGCTAAGATGGTTGTGAGACCATGCATATTCAATTAAAGCAAGGTGACAGAAAACATATTGATCAGGCATTTGAATTGAGAATGCTCTTTGTCCTCGAATTTTTTCAACAGTTCCTCGAACATCTACTGTTCCAACATCTTCCAAACGCGATATGCAAATATCTAGAGTTATGAAGGTACCTAAAATATAATTGAAAATTATACATAAATTCCACCAAGTCAACAAAAGACCATAGAAAAAATTTCGTGTCTTTTTTGAATCAAAATTTGAGTATGATTTGAAAAAGTGTTTGCTTTCCTTTTTTTCCAAACATAAGTTAAAGTGTTTATTATTGATAATGTGGAAAATACATGTCGGCAGAACATAAAAAAACCTGCCGCTTTTTTCTGCCTACAACATTTTATTCATTAAACATTGAAAAAGGAGGATTCATGAAAAATTTCCATTATAATCTTTAGGATAAAAATCTGATTGATTAAAATAAAGTGTGAAGCAAACTAATTTTCCATGTAGTCTTAAATAACTGTTTGAAGATTGAAAACGAAATTAATTTTTTTTGGGATTCGGTTACTTAACTCGTTTATAATTTACTAGGTATATAAAATTATTTGTAATAAATCATTGAAGAAATGGAGTAATTGATTTTAAATAAAATCAAATCAAATAAATGAATTCATTGAAAATTAGGTGAAATAATGCAAACTGAAATTTATTTGCGATAAAAAAAAATTCACCTGTTCGTCCAATTCCTGCACTGCAATGAACTATAATTGGGGGCCCTCGTTGATGTCCTTCCCATTTTTCTCCGAATTCTTCTAACATTTCCGCTTGTTTTTCTCGTACTCCTTGCAAAAATGTTAACACTGCTAAGGCTGACGATGGGACGCCATAATCAGGCCAGCTGGTGAATTGCCAGTGTGAAATTTTTCGGATTTCTTCAGTCTTTTGTTACAGAAAAAGAAAATTAATTTAGTTATTTATTTCTTAATAGACTCTTGTGAAGAACTTAGTCGTATCTAACCTTTAAGTTTTTTATCTCTAATGAGCTAATTGTGTAATTCAAATTTGATTCACTTTTGATAGTTTTGATAGAGAAGATACCGTATGTGATGGACTGATCAACTTTTTCTTCCCAATACTGATGACATTTCAATCTACCTCGTTCCATCGTTTTTGTTGTCATTACAATTACTAAGCATTTTTGTTCCCATGCCATTCTCCAAAAATCTTGAGCTGTTTTCGGTAGCGGTCCTGAAAAGTGATTTGATGATCATTTGAATGTTTATTTATAATCAGAAATATGATGTAGAAACCTTGTGTTGAAATGTACGCATTCTTTTGTTTATATCCATCTACGAAATTTGCATTGATGTAATCAGTTGCTGAGGTCTTTTCGTCATCATTTTCATCCACAGATAAGATAACCCGACTATGGTCGTAACAAAGAACATCTGTATAGCGATTTTTAGTTAAATTATTTTGATTTCTTGCATTTTCAAATGAACCATCTGGTTGATTACTCCGAATTTCCGCATATTCTTTAATTAATCCTTTTTTCTCCATTTTCTTAACCATTTCAGCGAATTGTTGAATGGTTTTGCCGTAGTTAACATCATTTGTCCCTGCAAGACTATCGTCGTCACTGAATCCACTTGACGGTGATGCTGAAGAAGATGGATGTTCAGGCCAATGTTGCTGAGAAATGACTCCATTATTCTCATCGCAATCTGATTTTCTGAAGTTTGTATTATTTCTTGATAAAGAGCATGACTGTTTTTCCATAGATGAGTCCGTTTTAATCTCATAAACAAAATCATTGACTTTTAAAATAGAATTTTCATCATACGGTTGCAATTTCACAGACATTGATTGAAAGAGATCATCTTGGTTTTGGATTGTCATTAAATGATCGCAATATTTTAACCATTTGAAATGTTCTACTTCTAACGTTCCACCTAAATTAATAGGAAGGGATTCTTTCGGAAAATGCAGATTCAGTTGAGGAACAGACACTATAAACACACGATCACGTAATTTTTCACGAACAAAAAGCCGTAGAATTTTGAAAGGAGCCTACAAAATTAGAGGGTTTCTTTTCTTAAAAATACTTTTTAATTATTTGCTCAAGCTATAGATACCTTGAACCACAAAGGAGCTGTAACAATGAGAACCTTTTTCAGTTTTGCAGGATAACAGCCCTAAAATAAAAATAAAATAAATTAACTTTTTCTCCTTTCGAAAATTTTTATCTTTTAACTTGTTAGAATTTTTTTTAAAGATCACATCTTTAGACAAATAAAATCCAGGACTCCTATGTATATGATATGTATGTACCAATAGGAGTTTCTGCCGAGAACAAGGCAAATGAATCAGTGAATATCGAACAAATACGAATACAACTGATACATCTTTATATATTTTGTTCTGCAGTAATGTTACAACTTTCACTCACAACAAAATGCCACAACAACAACAACAATCACTCAAAATATATAACTTACCTTTAGCATATTTAAAATCTTTTGAGAAAGATCATAATCGAAATTTGAATATTTTGATCCACTCATATCGTATATGAAGACAAGACCATTTCTTTGAGTATTTGGTGATTTCAAAGCTGCATCAAGTTGATAAACAATTCCTTGTAGAGTTGTTTTATGAGTTACTTGATGGGGATAATGCAAACGAGCTGTGAAAATTGATATAGCTGCTCCACTCACATCACGACTTGACTAAAAACGAATTAAAGAATTAAAAATATTCCGACAAGGCCAGGTCAAATAATAGAAAACGAAAATCAAAAATCTTTTATTTCCTTAAAAGTATAAAAGAAAAATGTGTGATTTTTTATGCGCACGTCGATTTTCGTTGAAGTGTTTTTCTTTTTTGATTTTTCTAATTTTTTCTATTTATATTTTTGTATCAATAGTTCTGTATCTAAATTTTATTTAATGTTAAAATTTACGCTACTTTCATATGAGAAAGTGGATCATTTTAAAAAATCAATTTGACTAACTTTAATTTATTTTCTTTGACTGATAATGCTATGAACTTCTCAAAGTTTCAATTTCACTGGCGATAGAACATTACCAAATGTATTATGGTATTTGGGAAGCAAATAGATATTGTTACGATTTTTCTTCTTGAATATCCCAATAAACCCAATGCATTGGGTATTACGGCTCAGGAAATTGTTTACTTATGGTAATATATTTAAAACAAATTATGAATTTATTAAGTATCTTGACTTCTTGATACATATAACGATTTTTCAATAGCTTCATATTTTTTTGTCTACCTTCAGCCGTCGTTGTATCAAGAGTCTGTAGAGTAATTGACAAACGAAAAGAGGATCTATTTAAGTTTATTTTATGTATTGTAAAATTGAAACAATTTGAAACTAAAAAATCTCGTAGCATTTAGTTTAAAACGTTTAGAAAAAGTGAGTAACTCACCAAAACAGTGAATTTTCCTGTTGCCAGCTCTGAACGTAATGGATCAGCGTTAGTGTTTATTCCAAAGAGTCCTTCTCGTTCTCGTGTACTTATATTAGCTTCATATAATAGTATAGCTTTTTGGAGATCAAACTTTCGAGCTGACAAATATAGTATCGCAGTTTCCTTCTCAACTTGATGACTTTGGTGAGCAATCGAAGAATTTATAAGCTGAATGAACTGATCTACTACCTGTGAAAAGTATAATATTTTAAAATATATTACGAATTGAACATCTTAGATCTGATTATTATTTAAAATCTTTTTAAGCGATTGCCAACAATCATCAGACATGAATTTTTCAGGTCCGCTTTGGGTTGAAAGCGTTTTGACGAGAAAACTTAATTTTTAATCATTGTTAAAATCATTAAAATATGTCATCTTGTGATTGTTTCGTCGTCAGTTATAACGACTACTGGTTGGCAACAATAGACACAGGGAACATATTATATTAAAGATTATGCGCTGAAGTAAATTGTGAAGTATGTTATTTTAATCATTTTTAAGTGTTGTATGTATATTCCTACATATATAATGTTCTTTAAGCTTCAAGCGTAATCTTTTTGATTTATAACCTATATAAATTAATAGGTATGTTTTTTATGAAAGGATAACTTTTCTTTAATTATCTATTTCATAATATTATAATAGATTTTCTTTCGATGATGATTCAATATTCAATTATAAACAATGTGATGCGATTTCCAAACTAAACTTAGTTCCATAATTAGATATGAAGAAATGCAAAAATTGAAAATAAGTAAATTTATTTTCGTAATTAATTTTTTGCATGTGAACGATTTTGCAAAATTTTTATATTAATTTCAGAATCGTAAAATAACTTAATTATAAAATTGTTATTTGTTAACAAGATACGTTGTTTTACATCAGGGGTTGTAGCTCAGCCGGTAGAGCGTTCGCTTCGCATGTGAAAAGTCCCGGGTTCGAATCCTGGCAGCTCCAATTTTTTTTTAATTTTTAGCATTCACAATATATACATTGAAATGAATAAATAGAATCACTTTCAAAATAGGTTTGAAGAGTTATATACATGTCTCTAACAAACATGCAAATATTTAATTATATTTCATTATTGAAAAATCACTTTGCACTAAAATTTAGATCAATAAATGAGATGATTACACTTTTATAATTAAGATACAAATATTTCTTTTTTCATATTTTATTCATGCAATCAAATTTAAGGCATCAAAATTAGAATATAAATTTCTAATTTTGCTGATTCACATTTGATTGGATAAGAAAACATAGATAAAATTTAAGAAAAGAAATAATTTTTTGTCGATGGTTTTTTAAAGTTAAACAACTCTAAAATGAATTAGAAAAAACCATATTTTTATACACTACCTTAGATTCGTATGTTTTATCTGTTGGAGTCATGGCTTCTAAATTAAAATAAAAAGCGATTGAAGATACTTTAAAGTTGAATTCTTTTATATTATATTTAAGAACAGCGAAAAAGAATTATATTTTAGATATACAAAAATCAGGTTTGGGCTGACTTCTCCACTATCTGTTCTGGAGGGAAGGGAACTGCTTAGATATTCATTTAAAACAGAATATCAGGGTATGGTAGTAAAATAGTTTCCATACTTTTCTCCTCTCTTACAGTTAGGTATTTTGCTAAAAGAACGGGGAATTGAATATTTAGGAAAGGATCTTTATCTTTTTTGAATTATTGTTATTTATACGAGTTTTAAAAATACTTGATGAGACGTTATTAGAATTTAGCCTATAGAATTGTATGTAATTACAATAAAAATAAAGTAATGTAATTATTCAATAATAAATGGTTATCATGAATGATAGTAATATGATGTTCTTTTACATTATATCAATACTCTACTTGTTACAAATATTTCTGATTAGCGTTAAGGCTCATAATCTTTCCAGAACTCGTACGTATTTATAATTCCATTCAAATTTTCCGTTTTCAGGAGACTCAAATTTGTATTCTCTACACCACTCTACACCACTTGATTAGCAATATATAATAGATATTATATGATTTAAAAAAAATTAAGACTTTAAATACTTCTACAGATTTCATCATTTTATTTTCTTGTTAGAAATTACATGTTTATTGTATGAAAAATTTTATTTATGGCCAAGAAAACTTGGTGTCCATTTCTTAACAATTGAAGGTGATTTTTCCTGTTCTTCTCTTTGCTTTTGCTCCATTTGATCTAACAATTTACGCTGGTTGCTTTTAAATTTCTCAATTGGGTCGGAAAATTGTTTATAATAAAGCATAACCTCACGAACATCGTCTACATCAGCAGTTACAATTGCTAAAAAGGAAGACGACAATGTTTTATTTTTGACTGATAAAATAAACAATTTTTTTTAAACTTACTTTTCAAAAAAGAAGTGAGATCGAAAAGCGTTGTATCATCATCATTGCCATTCCAACGAGGGATATTGAAGGAATTTTCAGGATGAAATTTTGTAGAGTGAGCGTTCCAATCTATTACAATCACTTTGCTCAAATCCCTATTAAGCTTATCTAGACTTTTGACATGATGTCCGTCAACAAAGTGCGTTGCTTAAAGCATAAAAACGGTACTTGTTGTAATTTTAAAAGAATAAGAAAGACATTACATACCATCACGAACTAATCTGTACATTATGAAACCATTTGGATCAAGAGCATCAAGTACAGGAAAAACAGTCATACCATGATCAGCAGTATATACAACTATTTCAAAGATACGTCCAAGCTGTTCAAGGAAGTGATCCACACCGGGACGTTTCTTAAAGCGCCAACCGGTTTGATAAGTCCAATCAGGATGAACAAGTACATCTTTCATCTCTAAAACAAGTGTATATTTTGGCTGGACATAAGGATGTTTCAAAGGATCGGGAAGAAGTTTCTGGTACGATGGTTCTTGTACAAATTTTTGATAATAATTGAAAGATGCAAGTATTCTTCTTTTATACTGAAATATCAAAAATAATGAGAATAATTTGATGAACGCATTAATAAGAAGCAAATGTACTACCTGCTCAAATGTTGACAGGTGACTAAATTGATCTTCGATTATATTCCCTTCATGATCTTTCTGAGGTTGGCCAAGTTCATATATTGAGAACAAACTAAAGCCAGCTGCAGAAACTCCAAAAATGTAGAATCCAAGCTTCATTCGTTTCCATTGCTTGTCTTGATCTTTTTTCTCTTCTAAAAGGGGTTTTTAAGAGTCATTTAATAAAATAGTAATAACAAATGTGATTCAAAAACACCTTCTTCTTCTTTTTTTTTATGCATTTGTGTATCTGACTGATCAGTGACTGCTGTTTGTGGAAAAAGTTTTGAAAGCAATTGAGGGCTTTTTTGAATATCTGCCTTTGAAACCATTGTTGTTTTCTTTTTGAGTGCTATAAACGAATAATAATTGCATGTTTTTTTTAAAATAAACAAAAGTGTAAAATGTTACCATCATCTCTGGTTTCTTCCGAAAAAAATCTGGCAGCATATGCAGAACATTGCCAATCCTTTCTTTTATATGGAATATTCTTTAAGAATTTCAACGCGAAACGAGTTTTTAATGACATTTTGTGAAATAGTGTCAAATGACTTTATAGTTTATCTAATGCTTCTTTTCTCGTTCTCTGCACCTGAATTTGAAGCCCCTTGACATTGTGCTTTTTTCTATTCGAGGGGTTTTCTACGTGCGCCGATAACACACTCATACATTAAAAAAAATTCTTGTGTTCACTGGAAGAATTTCTGACTTTGAAATAAATTCAGAAAAAATCGACATTATGTTTGTTCTAAGAGTTAATAGGTTTTTTTCTAATAAACCTTCGGCTTTTTCTATAAAACGGTAGATTATCTTTTATCTAGAGTGCATTGATTGATTGATTAGATTTTCAATTATGACTTTTTTATATTATCATTAGTTTTGTATCAGTGAGTGCTCTGAATAACCAAAGCTCAGAATCATGGTTGAATAAGATATTATCACGAAAAATTTCACCTAACGAAGCTGCGAAAGAATCCCACTCTAGAATGCTTAGCGGTAGATGTTTTTATCATATTTCCTATGATCTTTTCACCTCTAAAATTTTATTTTTTCTTTTACCTTTTTAGACAAAGAAATCCTCTACGCTCTACACACTCATAACGTTCGCGCTGATTCGACTCAAAATTATCTTAATAATTAGTAATTTTTCTCTGAATATATTTGTAAATAATTTCTGATTAGATATGCTAAAATGTATTTTTTCCCTGAATCTCTAAATTTCATTAGTAAAACTACTGTCGAGCTAATTGAGTCGAAGAAGAATTTAGCTTGTGAATTGGTGGCAAGTTGGTCTGTCCAAGTAGGAGATCAAGATCAATTCTTACATTTATGGCGATATACAGGGGGATTCCAAAAAGTTGATTTGGCTGAAGAAGAATTGAAAAAAGATCCTGTAAGTTTAAAATTAAAACTTAAATATTTACTATCAACGTTATTTCTTAAATATCCTATCCATTTAATTGCCAGAATTTCATTAAATTGTCAATTGAAAGAGGCGGTTTGTTAAGAGCCAGACATTTGCAATATTTGTTAGGCTTCAGTTACTGGCCAGTCATGGAACCACGAACAGGAAAAAATATTTATGAAATGAGATCGTATCGCTTGAAACCTGGTACGATGATTGAATGGGGTAACAATTGGGCTCGAGCTATCAATTTTCGTCGCAACAACAATGAGGCATACGCGGGATTTTTTTCTCAAATTGGTAGATTGTATAATGTTCATCATATCTGGTGCTACTCGTCCTATCAACAAAGAAAAGAGACTCGTGAAAATGCATGGAGGCAGCCAGGATGGGTAAATGTCAAACTTATTTATATACCTTTAAGAAATTTAAATTCTTTATACTCGTTCTTATTTCAGGATGAATGTGTAGCATACACAGTTCCTCTTATTCGAGAGATGCATTGCCGTATTCTTATTCCTACAGAATTTTCTCCAACCAAATAGATAATTAAATGTTTTTTTTAATTGCAAATATCCACAAAGATTTATTTTAGATATATGTGTATGTAAAGTATCTCAATTCTGTATGAATGTAAGATTTATCGTTTCGTGTCATACAAAATTTAAAGAAGTTGAAGAAAATAAAATTATAGTAAACCGATAAACAAATGTTCAATTAATTTTCTATTTTCCATAAGTTGTTCATTTAAAATCAGAGTTTCTAATATGAGTTTGTTTGTGGTAACAAGCATAAACATCGAATTAGAGATTTTATGTTTTAGTTTTAATTAAACTCATTGATAGGAAAAAAATCATCTTCGTTTATCATATACCTACTTGATCATATAAGATGCCCTAGCTTTGACATGCAATAGGGATATTTGTAAAATCAACAATTTCCCACTTCGATAGATTAGAATCTGTTCCGGAACAGATAAAATGCTCTGTTCCCGAAACATGAGACGGAAAAACTCTCTCATGTGTGTAACTCGTTTCTTTCTTTCTTTTTGACACTCAAACAGGAATCTTTTCTTCAAAAATGTACGAATAATAAAAGTATCTTCAAGGAAAACTTATCCCAACAGATTTTAAGGGTTCCTATACTAAAAGCTTTCCATATGCTAAAAAAATATAAAATAGTAATTATTCATTAGTTATTTTATATTATCATAGGAAATAAAAGGAATACGAAAATAATGAAAAGAGAACTAGAAAAAACAATGTTTGTTAGTTCCTTCATAAAACACTTTTCATTTTATTCTCGTAAAAGGAAAAAATGAAAAATATGTTAAAAAAAATCGGAATTAGTCATTTCTATTCTAACAGGTGTATTCATAAGGAAAAGTTTTGATCTAAAATTTTTTACCTTCTTTCTAAGAAATATTGAATTAACTACCTAGTAGCAAAACAGTCGCCGCTATGATTAAATTTGAATCAAAAGCCAATAAAAACTCAAACTCGATTGAAATTCAATTCCGATTAAATACTTGGTATATTCATAAATGTATAAATTTCAATCTCGTGAGGACATTTATTTAATCGAAAATTTTGTATTACCTTTTTTATGAATACGGCTGTAAGTATTTTGCAGTAAAGGTTTTATAATTTTGAATAACCTTTTAAATCTTTGATTCACAGTTTGGGCAATTTGAACGTGTGTATGAATTCTGCAAAAACTTGTTTATTTTAAGGATTTTATTCGTCATAATTTTGTTTCAATTTTCATTGAATGGAAAGAGGACAGTAAATGCTATAAAAGCTGTTTAATTATTTTTCCTAAGACGACAGCACAGATAAGTTGATAAATTGTAGATATATTATTTTAAATAAACCATCAGCTTAAAAAAAAAGCTTGTTCTGTAGTGTGTAAACGCGGTTTCAAGATAATATTAATCAAAAATTTATCATATATCATCTAAAATTACCCACTGGGTGTCTATTAAGAGAATACTTATTATTCAAATATGCTAGTAATTTAGAGCTACATAATTTCTATTTACAACTATTTATATATATATGTGTACATATATATTTTCTTCAAAGAACGCTTGAGGGTATCTTTTATTAACTGAGAAATAATCTTCCCGTTAATTATAATTTCTTTATCTGAGAAGACTTGTATTTACGTAAAAATTGTAAAGGTTTGATAATTAAATTTATACAGATTTTGATGGAATATTAGATATTACCTAGTTATAAAAAGTATTTGGAAAACAATTAGATAGATATTTACTTAATGTGCTTGAGGATTAGATTTTAATTTAACTTTTTTTTTGAGCTCACTAATAAAGGAATTAAAGAGAACCAGCTGGGAAGCTCGCTGACGAGTTGCTATGGGCCAGGGATAACATAGAACCGTTGAGACTTCCTTCTTCATCGGGATACGTTTCCTGACTTGCTTCAGCAAGTGAAAGAGCACTTAAAAGAAATTTTGTTATTAAATTTTTTAATTCAAAATACAATTGATGTTATTGGATTGAATTATTTTCTTGAGGTTTTATATTTACAATTAAAATTGTTTTTTAGTTTTACACTTTTAGTTAAACTTTTTCTAATGAAATTATACGATCAATTATCTTTTCAATCCAATATATATAATTATAAGGAATTATCCTACCTAAAGCCCATATTAACACTTTCTAGATCGAAAATTTCCAACTGCTTTTCTTGTTTTTCTTGGAGTAAGCGAATTCTTTCCATACGCTCTTGCCCAAATTGCTGAAGTTCAGTTTCCATCTTTATAATATGATAGGGAAATTTAGATAAGAAAAATGTACAGATGCGATCAATATTGTGCCTTGAATTTCAAAAATTCAGATCAAAAAGTGAGCAGGAATCAAAGATTAGGAAATTAAATTTTTGTATAAATTATTTTTGAAAAATTTGAGCTAGACAACTCCTTATAAGGAAACATTCAAAATCGATATTATGCAAATTCGAAATTATGAAATAAGATTTTAATAGGTGAAAGGAAAAAGAAATGAAACAGAAATACAGTCGACGCTCTATAAGTGGAAGCTCTATGAGAGGAAAAGCTACACACATGCCCCCTTCAACTACATTTATATTGAAAAGTCATTCTAAAAGCGGAAAATCTCCTCACACGACCACTCCCTTCAGTTTCCGCTTATAGCGATTCGACTGTACGTGAATATGTGCACTAAACAAACTTTCCGAAAATAAAAGAACTTTCGAAGTTGCATTTTAATTAGTAAAAATTTTTATCCAGAAATGACTTCGCTGACTTACCTTGCTCTCCAATAATGCCCTTCTTACACTAACACGCTCTTCTAACTCTCTTCTTTCGCGATCACGCTGAGTTTGAGCCTGTTGACGATTTTTCTCCTGATATGCTGTTAAAATGTTAAGCTCATATTGTAATCGATCACGAATCTGAGAGCATTCAATTTCTTGGCTTTCATCTAATCGCAATGACTGCTTTTGCAACATATCAGCGATACTTTGTTCGTACTAAAAAAATATATTTGTAAATATTGTTATTACAGAAAGCTTCTTCACCTGGTCGCCTAAAAGAGTCAATTTTCTTTGTTGCTCTTCCTTCAGTTTCTTTATCACAGCTTTTTGTTCATCTTTAGGGGTTGCTTGTAAGATTTGTGATTTTAATGCTTTATATTGACGAGTTTGAGTTTTGCATGTCTCGCGAAATTGTTTTCGTATTTGGAGTTCTTTTTGCTAGAAATACCAAAAAAAAAAAAATTGCAACCTAGAGTGAAGAATAAAATTAAATCTATGAGACCTTAAGACTTTTTGGCTGCTGTTTTAGCTCAGTGGCGTGTTTCCTTATAAGTTCACGCTCAGCCCGTTCCATATAATCTTTCTGATTTTTCAACTCACTTTCATGCTGCTTCGTTATCTGCGTATTAAATATAAAAAATATTAGAAAAAGTTCAATTTTCATATCTTATATTTTGTATACTTGATCTTCTCTTAATGCATGGACACTTTTTTGTTGTCTATATTCCAATTCTTGTGTTTTTTCATGATGACGTAAAAGCATAGAGTGCGCTTGTTCGAGTTGTTGTTGCTTTTTGCTCAATTCCTAAAAGAAATCAAACAAACGATTAATAAACGATTGATCAGAGTCGGTATTTCTTTCTTGAAATTCTAATGAGCAAGAAAAAGCTTACATCTCTGAGCAATTGATTTTCAAAATCATGAAAAGAACCAATCTTTTTTCTTTTAAATTTTCGCATTTCGAGCTCAATGTAGTTTTTTTGAACGCGCAAAAGTCTTTGTTCCTCTGCTGCTTCAGCCATCTTTAAATTCTCTTTTTGTGATCTGAGTTTATTTAAATAAATATAATTAAATTTACGTTCATAAAAATTTAACTAAGATTTCTTACTGCAACGTTGCATCTCTTTGCCGTTTGGGAGTTGAATCGTCTAATGAGAGTTCCCTTTTCCAACGCTCTTTATTTGCTTTGTACTCTTTTTTTCGATGTGAATCAAATGCTTTCCGATCGCCTTCTTGTCTCAAAGAAATTTCCTTGAAAAGTTTTTTTTCAGCAACGTTATTTTGCTTTAATCGTCTTTCAAGCTCTTGCTGATGTTTGACAGATAATTTCTCTAGTTCTCGAGTGAAATTATGAAGAAGGAGATCGTATTCTTTATCCAATGCTCCTTTGTGGCTTTCCATTTCAACTTTACACTTCTCCTCAAGCTTCAATAAAGCTGCTTGATGTTCTCTTCGCATTCTCTTATATCCAGACATTTGTTCATGCATATCTTCCTGCATATGTTCTTTTTGCTGCTTCGTAACTATACTTGTTGTACGAATGGTTGCAAAGTTATTTGGTCCATGTTCGTTAAGAGCATGAACTGCAACTTGCGTTGCATGATTTTGAGATACACCGCTATACATTTGATGCTGAATATTTTGATGATCTCTTGATGAAGTCGAGCCGGACTGAAGAATCATTGGTTGACTTTGACGTAGGTGATGATTTATGCATCCACTCTGGTAAACTGAGGGTGCATTTACGTATTGAGGTTGATGAGGTGGAACGGCAGGAGGGCGATGTCGTGATGAATTTCTGTGAAGGTTGCTTTGTTCTAATACATTCGGCTGTATAGAGCTACTTGAAGAATTTTGGCTTCCTGCTACAAGACCTCCAAACGATTGCATACTATGTTCCGATGTGATACTGTTGCTCTTGCTGCTATCTCCGCCAATTTGATCATCTAAAGCATCATCTGCATCGCCAATATTGCTTTCACTCTCGCAATTATCAACCATTAAAATTTTTTTCATTTTTCGATAGTTCAAATTGTCTAGTTCTCGAACTGCTGCTTTTGTTCTGTTGTGTAAATGTAAACAATATTATTGATGTAAATTCTGACTTACTCACAATAGTTTTTTTTAATTAAAAAATAATATTAAATTTATAAAGCGAATAATTAGAATTGACTCTTCTTGATACTTTTTCAGTTCTCATTTTTCATTTTCTAATAATTTTTCTTGTGTCTACTCACCGTGCAATAAGATCGATGAGCACATTCGGCGATCGTTGTTTAGATACGAAAATGTGAGCTAAAAGTTCACTGGAAGTTGGACGATCAAGTGGTGATTTTTTCAGACATGATTCTACGAAATCTTGAAAAGTATGCGACCAATCTGGTGATTGCAATGCTGGAGTATCATTTTGTGCAATATGATAAAGTGCTGACATAGCATTCATATTAAAATAAGGAGGCTTTCTCTCAGCTAGTTCTATACATGTAATTCCAGTGGACCACACATCAACCTTTCCGTCATACTGTCCCTCGTCCATTGCTAAAATCACTTCTGGCGCCATCCTGCAATTTAATTATTCAATTTAATGATATTATGCCAATGCATTGCCTAAATCTCACATCAATTTCAAATGTGATTTCTTTTATATTTTGGGACCTCGAGAGATAATAATGTATGATTGATTGATTTAGGCAAGTACTCTATACTGAAAATGTAAACAGAACTAACCAATAAGGAGTGCCCACAAATGAATTGGCTGGGCATTTAATGGCAGCGCTACCGAAATCAGCCAATTTTACTATTCCTTGTTCTGTCAATAAAATGTTTCCAGCCTTGATATCCCTGAATGAAACATAAAAATTAAGAATTGTGAATGAAAATTCTTTGAGAAAAATGAAAATCATACCTATGAATTCTTCCTAGAAGATGTAAATAACTGAGTCCATGTAATACACCGTCACATATTGCAGCAATTTCATCTTCTTTAAGTGGTCTTTTATGAACTTCAATAATATCTGATGCCGAACCAACACAATATTCCATTACAAGCCATGCAGTGTTTTCATGGAGATAACAGCCTTTATATTCAATAGTGTTAGGATGATTCAATTGACGTAGAAAACGAATTTCCTTGAGAATATCCTGCCATTTCTCCATACTTTGCTTTCCCATGTAGGACATTTTTTTAATTGCCACAATTTCGCGTGTAAGATTACAACGAGCATAGTACACAGCTCCAAATGAACCATGTCCGATTTCCCTAAGATCATCAAAAATCTTTTCTGGATCATGCTTATTGAATAATTCAGCAATTTCTGGGTCTTTCAGACTTCCAGGTCGAGGAGCTGGTGCCATTTTTATAGTCAGATTATATGAATGCGAGAATTTAAAATTTTTGAAGATGGAATTGAAACCTGTTGTTTAAACCAAATTTTTTATATTGTCGCGTCTTCCTGTACTTGCTCATGGATTCGGAGCATCTACTGGTTTAACGTAAGAGTGGTTTCAAAATTGTACATGATTGTTTCTGAAACAAAATTAATCATATTTAGATTACATGTATATACCTGCAAAATTTTGTTAACTGTACCTTGTACAGAATAATACCTTTATGTTACTCGTTTTTGCTCTTTTTTTGCGTTTTTTTCATAAGGAGTCTCAACCTAGGTATTAGATTTTTGTTGATTCTTTAAGCTTCCCGTGACTGCAATTCAAATAATTAAATTTTGTCTGCAAACTTTTATAATAGAACTACTTTAAAATATGAAGTCTAAGCTTATCTTTAAACAAAAATTCTGTTCTTGGAAATTGCTGTAATTTATATGTTATGAAAAAATAAGATGGTCAGTATTGAAAATTCATAATGCTTGTTTGTGTATGCAAATCTTAAAAAAGTTAATGCACACTTAATTATTTATTCTTAATATTAGATTAATTGATATTTTTCAACCGTATTTTCTGATGTTAATTAAATATGAAAAATAAATGGTTCGATTATGGAAGAAAGCACTACATACACTTTAAAAATATAATTTCAAGAGGAGAGGAATACTAAACTAAAATAAAAAATTTATCATTTGAATAATAAATAATAAAACGTGAAAATATTAAAAAATTTGGTAATAATGTCGAGCAGAATGAGAAATTACAAGATATACCAAATTGCAAATAAGTATGTAGTTTTGATAAGAAAAAAGACTAGAGCACAATTTAAGTTTAAATTGTAATGTAATTAGAAAATCAAATAATAGTATATTGTATATGATTAACTATGATAGCTTAATGATACTTAAAAATAATTTTAGTAACAGAACAAACCTCAATTTTTAAGAAATTTTTATTTTAAAACGACGGAAGTTTCCATTCTTTTATATTATTTTCTATGCCTTGTTAATTGAATAATTGGGTTCTTTACACTTTCAATCTTCTATATATATTGAATATTCAAATGTTTTATCTTTTAAAACTTTTCTATGTACTTATAATGTTTCCCAATACTGTTCAAAAGTCATCTCATTTTTTAACTAAATGAAAAATGAAAAAAATTATTCGACCTACCTAGTAGAACTGTCGAAAATTTTCGAAAATATAAATTAAATTATGATGGGCCGTTAAATTTACTACGAATATCAAAAATTTATTAAAAATATCTATTGTCCATTAAAGGACACTTATATAAAGGATTTGAATTAATGGCTTATTGATTTTTTTAAGTAATGCAATCGTGTGTAGCTGGTAAATTTGCTAATGTAAAAGAATAATTTAGTCTATAAGGGAATATTTTTTGTAATATGTTCAATTTGGTTTATTTGAATGAGAAAGGGTAATGATATATTTTTGTTGATTGCTTTGGTAATCTTAAATTTTATTGGATGAAGTATTTATTTATCTTAGAATTATTTAGCTATAACTAATGCGATTTTTTACTCTCCTACTCGCAAGTATTCAAATATTCATACACACAAAAGTAAGCTGTCTTTCTCATTTTATAAAGTATGATAATTTCTTTCATTTCGAGACTTATAAAATTTCCAAGCGATGAAAACAATTGCTACGAGTCCTAATGTAAAAATTATTCCTCCTATGAAGGACGTTGTAGACCAATGGCTTGAATGATGGTTCGGCTCTGGGGATTGTGTAGTTTTAGGATTCACAGTAGTCCTATAATTAAAATATTACTTAGAAATAATCATACATTGTTTTGTCTTTTCCTACTGTATGGCTATATAATAGTTTCCAAGACTTTCTTATAAGATCAAACTCGATAATTTATTGTTTATTTTATCGTTCAAAATTTCTTATTACACATATTTATCTACCTGGATCGTTATATTCTTATTGGAAAAAACGTTTTCAATTAGAAGTACTTTCTAATACCAAGAAAGTCCTCGGAATGTCTGCTATATAGGTTGTAGGCAAAGTAAAAAAAAATTAAAAATATATTACGGAATATTCGTTGATGGAGTAATGGGAACTGTTGTTGTCTTTGAACTTGTTGAAGTTGTATCGGTTGAACTAGGGAAACAAAAAGAATATCAGTTTATTAAGTGTAATTCAAAAGTAATTCTAAAAGTTGAATTGGGACAGATCTTATCTAAATTAAAGCTTTATTGAATGAAGTTGGATTAACGATAATTAACTAATTAAAAACATGTTAGAATGATTTCATTTAAAAATTTTCAAGAGGAAATAATTATATTTCAACAATAAAACGATAGTTCGAATTTGATCCTTCAATTTCTAAACAGCAGATTAAAGATATAAAATCTAAGAATGTTCAATTCTCACGTTGATATTGTTGATGTTGTTGTATCATTTGAGGGAATATCAGCTATTTCAATCGATTTTGATGATGATGTAGAGTCCAAAATATCTGATTCTGAAACATTGAATGACAACATTATTTGTGTATCAAAAACATTTTATAGTTAAATCAATTTAATTGAAAAGAAAATATTCATGATGAAGATACTTATTTGATTTTGATAAGATTCATAAAATATTTGAAATTATCAATTTAATTTTAAATACAATGCTTTAGTTAATATGAAAAAAATATGATACAATTGATGCAAGTTTTATAAATACTATAAATTTTTATTTACCTTGGCTTTTAGTAATGATGCAAGTGAAGACAATTATAAAGAGAAAAGATAGCTTCATTCTTGCTTGATTCAGATATTTCTTTCCTTTTATTTTTAGTAGAAACAGCAAATTTAGTGAAAAATGGTATCGCAACACTGAAATCGACTAAATATACCAAATATTTATACTTTGACCAAAAGGACTGACTTTAATCTTTGAATTGTATTGAACCGTTTTTTTTCCTTGTGAAAATAAAGAAACTAAATGAACAGTATTCATGTTTTTATTTAGATTTTAAAATCTTTCATCAGTTGATCCGTATCATACAGATCATAAGAAAACAAATTCGAGCAGTACATATTTCCACATAATTGTCTGCTGATTGATAACTACATATATGTACATATAAGAGCAGCTAGTTTTACCTATTCAGGGAAGAAAACATAGAAAAAAAAGTATCGGTAAAGCAAAAATAACCACCACCCTAAATTTGGGTATTATTTAAAAAAATCAACCGTTCTTGTTATAGCTACTTAGGTAGTTATTATACCTAATTCTTCGTTTAGATACAATATGAAGGAATTTTAAAAATATTTTAACGATGAAAAGAAACTTCTAAAAGCTATAATTGAGTAGAAGCAGATATAGTCGCAATTTTTTGATACCGTACGATAAGCTGCTTGATACCTTTCATATGAAAATAAAAAAAAAACTTCTGCTTTCAGCTCAACATCAATGCTTAATGTCAAATAACATCAACATTTTTTAATTTTTTTTTCTTTCATTAAGAAAATCGTCGATATACCTAACTTTGCCATTCTCTTTTGGCGTTTTTTTTCGACAAACTATTTTCAGAGTATGCGAGAATCTTACTATAATATATTAGGTAATTTGAACGAAGCTATAATCAGAGTTGGATAAGAAACTTCCTGCGCTACTTTTACAAGAATTTCCACGTGGCAATAGAAAATTTGGTGGAAGCATTACTTCCAAAAAAAAAAAAATGTAATAGATTCATATTAGTTTATTTTCACAAGGGTTAAGAAAAATAAAAACTTTTCTGAAACAAAACGATATGAAGAATTCTCTAAAACATGAATATTTTAACCTCTGATGAGAGAAAAGCTTCAATCAAATTTAAGCAACACGATTAATTTTTTAGGAAAACTCGAAAACATAAAACCGAGCATTAAACGCGTGTGAGATCGTAACACTTAGGCGTATGAAAATTAAAAGAATTAAGAAAAGTTCTTCAGTCAGGTTTTAAGCTTCAGTTTCCGCTTGTGAAGATTACAACCTTCCTGTTTCGTTTCTGCTTACACTTCTAACACTTGCTATGAAATAATAAATATTCTTTTCTACGTTATATCTGAGCATGCCCTGGAAAATAAAAGAGAAATTACATATTATACATACATTTTCCAAAATATATTATCAGTGTAAAATAGTTCTTTAGTAAAATAGTAAATCAAAATTATTATTCAATCGTTATAAACTTAGAAATTTATCAATCGACTTTTTCTCATCAACAGTTGTGAATAGAATTGAGATATTCTGACAGTTCAAATATTGTAAATAAAGTAAAAAAATATTGCAGCTTTTACATGAAGGAACTTTCAGTGAAATCAAAAAAAAATATTGGATTTAAATTTAATTATCTATTTTCTTAAAAGTGTTGCGTTTTATATTTTTAAACTACTCCTGACTACCATTACATTTGAATTGATATCTCATACAATTGATTCCAGATTGAAATTCATCCATTGAATCTTTAGTTTCAAAAAAAAAATTCTTTTGCAATATTTTCCATGAATACAGCTATAGAATCTTACGAATGAGCTTATATGAACTCTACAGTAAGCTTTGTTACTGTGAATATCGGGAAAACTTTTTCATAGAATGAGAGTTTAAGCAGAAAGTTATGTTTTTAACATTCAGTAGGTTAAAATAATCCAGTGATATAAGATTAAATAACTTTGAGTGATCGATATTTTTTTCCAATTCTTTGTGTTTTGTTTTTATTTGCTAAAAAATTACAAACATTCTAGGTTGACAGTCATTCGAAATAATTTACACTGTTTTATATTTAGTAAACAGAAATTTTATGGAATTTATAATTTCTAGCCTGTTTTGAAGAAAAACAAAATTGGAAAATCACAAATGTATCATTGGATATACTATAAGTTGATGTTAAAAGTAAATTTGATACAAAAAAAAATTTTTATATAACTTATAATTTGCAAAATTATTTCCACATGGATTTTCTAAATACAAATGAAATATAAAAAGAAGACGACATAGGTATTTAAGCATGACTTGTAGTGCTTACATTTTAAAATAATACAATAAATTAACCTAAAATTTCATTCAACAAAATGACTTCAGTGAAAACAAGAAACAATGGTTGACTAATTTGCAAGTTCAATGAGACTAAAATATAGTAGCATGTATATTGCTAAGTATATGTACTGCAACATCAGTGTACTAATACGCCATATGCTTACCTAAAGTGTTAGACGATTGTTGCTAACGATGACCATTTTTTGTTTTTTATTTTTAAATATTCTTTTAAGTTTAAACGAAAATGAGTTATTCTCATATTCATCATTTTCTTCCTTTGTTGGTACGTTGCTTCCCGACGTGAACAAGCTCCTCAATCCTAACTATTGATCTTTTTGTCGCCTCAGATGATTATAGTAAATCCTAAATAATGCGAGATAAATTATTTGGACTTTCTGAGAGACAATATTTCTACTTCACAGCAACAACTTTTCATAGAATAACAAATCAAAAATAGTGAAAGTGAACACACAGAACTTCTTTTTTAACTTCTGTTTCAACCAATATTCAGACTTGGAAAAATATTAAATTTAATAAAAATACGAAAATTATTCGGAAAAATATCTCAAAATCACTAACCACCCCTAAATAGCGATAATTGGTACCTATTTTTTTATTCTGTTCATCCAATCACCTAACCTACTCTGTGAATGATGTTGTTAATTTTAAACAGATAATTAAAAATTAATTTACATAGGAAGTAAATATCAATAAATTTGAGTGAAATGAAAAATAACGTATGAACAAAATATATAATAAGAGAGAGCAATGAGGAAGTTTAAAAAAATGTCAAGAAATACTTTCATCATTAAACAGTTTGTGCTCTTAAGTTTAGTTGTTTGGTGTTCTATTGTAAAGCCTATATTAGGAAATGCCATTGACGCTGCTGAGGAAACAACTACAATAGAATTTGGTAACATAATACGACGAATTATTACATTAACTTAAATCTAAACTACCTAATATTGTTGGAAAATGAAAGTAAAAAATGTAGTCAAAGATTGATAAAGTTTTTCATATAAGGAACTGTTCGTTACAAATGAGAAAAAAAGCAAGTCTTAACAAGCTTTTATTAACATTTATTGCTTAAAGATACTTCAAAATGTATATTCTCTTAATATTTTCACGCTCTAAGTTACTTTTCAGAGTTTTTACTTAGTTTGGGTTAAGGTCCCAATTAAACGAAATTTACATTGAGTTTTTCAATACAGCTTTCTGAAATAATTCGCAATCAATGATTCAGAACTATTGCGGAATCACTTTATAAACTAACTGATAAAACTTTCATTGAAATAACATTAAAAATGTTTAAGAGCGATTATTTAAAAACTATATACCTACTTCTCTTGTTTATTTATCGGCATAGATTTATCATCAAGAGGAACATTAAAGTTTGGAGATAAATGTGAAGTCACTAGGCAATGTGGTTTTGCAGGTTCGATTTGTTTCCAAAATTATTGCACTTGTAGCCCAGAACTAATGTCTACGAATCATATCGATAAGTGTGGAAAAGGTTACTGATTAAAAGTTTTAACAGAATATATATTTTTTTAATCTTAATTTGTAACCTTATGCTTCAGCTGTTTCCGTAAATGAAACATGTTTTTTTAACGAACAATGTGAGGACTCAACACCTAAAACTGAATGCCGTGATGGCCGATGCATATGTCGTTTTGAAAAAATTCCGATTATAAAAAAAGATGGAACCATCGAATGTGTTGGTCAGATAAAATTATAGTTGTATTTAAAATATAATCTTATTAAAATCATTGCAGCAATCAAAGCAGATGAGTTAGAAACAACAAGCCAAGTCAATCCGGCTATGTATTTAATTCTGATTGTAATGGCACTTATGTTCATTATTATATGTGTTGTCCTGCGTTTGTTCAGCAAGTGAGTAATTAAAAGCTTTTCACTTTTTTAGAAAAAAAATGGATTAACCAAAATCAATTAAAAAAGAAGAATAAATCAATTTTAAACTCAAATCTTTCTATGGCTGTAATGCCTAGATATTAATGGGAATAATAGTTAACCAATAACAGATGTTTTTCTCGGTTATGCGTGTAATATCCCAATAATAGAAACAATTAAAATGACAACATGTCTAATTCTTTTTTGATGTTTATTGGTTCAAAGTAAAATCTAAAGTGAGAGGTCAAACTTTCTTACAATCTTTATATTCTCACGTTCTGTACTAATCGTTTATTATCAACTAATTTGATATTTCAAAGTAACTTTTAGTACGGGACATTACTAAATATTACAATGCGAATACTCGATTAATCTAATTTTGCTTCAGTTATTTGAAGTTTTCTTAAAAAATAACACTAAATTAAAATTATATAACGTTAGATCCATACTCAAAAGATTATGTATAACCAGACTTGTAACCAGATATATTTAGACCAGATAGGTGAATTTTAGAATATTCTCAAATTGTTGGTGAATTGACTTTTGTTATGAATACTGCTGCAATTTCACGACGATATTTATCAATAAGGTTGTAAATTAATATCTGAAAGGTGGCACAGATTATTTCTTTTCTGAAGATTTCGTATATTCTACCATTTTGTTCACAGTTTCTTTGTTTCATGGCTGTTGTCCTAGCAAAAATCCTAGTTTTATAATTTAAAATATTTATTCTAATAAATTCTTCATGTTTAAAAAATATTAATCAACACTTATTTTGATATTTTAGAGCTCGTTGGAGAGAAAATAGAACAATTTTCAATACTCCTAACCCAAGATTAATGAACGTATCTTTACTGAGAGAAAACAAATCACTACATGGAGGAGAACGACGTGGTTCTAAAATATCAGTTCGAATGCCTTCTAGGCAACATAGTTTAACTTCTCTAAGACAACATTCCCCAAGTAATTCAATAGGTAAATATTTATCAAAAGGTAAACTTAAATTATTTCATTTTTTATATTACATTGGATTAAAAAAGAACATTTTTATGTAAACAATATTAAAAAAAAATAAAACGTTTGTTGAATAACGTTGGCTCCAAGCAGAGAAGAGATTTTTTTTATTATTTTATATTTTCAATTTAATGTTAATTTGCACTAATTTTCAACCTAATTTTTCTTTAATTACTTATTTTCTGTTATTTTTATGGAAATAATGATATTTCAGATATCTTAAATATAAAAATGAACAAAAAAGAAACATTCCTAACATATACAGATTACTGAAAAATGACAAATAACCTATTAGTAGCTTTAAGATCGTAACCATTTGAATTGCGAACACGGTTTTCTTCGCTATTTTACGTTTTATATCTTAAAATTTTCAGAGAAGTACTTTGGACTACCTACTTATTTTCGTCTCTAAAAATTTTAAAGCTATAAAATGGTGAAATAGCGAAGAAAAACAATTTAACTTCAGAAATAAAAAAGAAAGACATTTAAAAATCAACTTTTCTCACGAGAATGGAACGCGTTATAATTATAGGTCCGAGTTCGATTCTCGATAGTTTAAGGTTGATTATCAATTTTAAAAGAATTTTCAACTTCACCTTAAAAAATAAGGATAACATTAGGAAACACTCAAAATTCATATCATATTAGATACACCCTAGTAGAGGTCACATCGATGATCGCTTTTTTTAAAAATTCACATGTATCAAGGTTGCGTGAAAATTATTAGCTGATTACCACACTTACAATTTATTGTTTATGTTTTGCTTTTAATAAAGCTCATATTTATTTCAGGAGAGAATCAATATTAATTATGTTTTCGCACTCTTTTTACACACATTATTTCATTGCGTTGACATAATTTTTTTCTCTATTTGAATCAAAATTATATTTAGAAATGGCTCAATAAATACAATCATAAACTAGGGTAAACCAACATATTCCGAATACAGCTAAAAATGAAACTTTAAACTATCTACTCCTTTTTATGAGAAATTTTCTAAAAGTCTTCAAAGCTTTTTTCCATAAAATATTGAAATAATTCTAAATATCTTCAAATGACTCATTTGAAATGAGTTTATTATATAACATTTTTATAATCAAACTACAGTATAAGCTTGATAGTATGATAATGAGGGAACTAAAAAAAATTTTCTATCGAGGAAATCGTTTTTATCGAGCAAAAAAGGGTATTTAAAATTAATTCAAAAAATAAAACTGACATTTCGAATAAGTTGTGTCAATTTCGATAAAAAAAACACGCAATGAAGTGACTAGTAAATTTTTTTTTTGATTCGTTCAATATTTTGAAAAGATATCATAATCCTTTTGAATTTCACAGTTGTTAATTACCCAAAAATTCAATTTATTTTCCGTTCATCGTTGTATCATGCAATGCTTTCATATAGCATTTCTATATACTATCGAGCAAACTCTTATCAAGCTTATGCTGTACTTTTAGTTTTAAAATTTTCGATTGATTTGTGTTCATTATGAATATTTATTTTTTTTCAGATACACAAAAAAACACAATGGTATAACTTTGAAATAAATTAAATCAAATGAGACATATAACTTTTTCTTAAATCATTACTTTACTTTTTTTCATTGATTATATTATTTTTTGATCAATATTATGAAAAAGATCTGAGGAACAAAAATTTCGGTGTCTTTAAAGGTCCTAATTAGGTAGTTTTTCTTGAATAAATAATTGCAAATGTTTTATGAAATTGTTTGGAACTTTCTTTTAGACAAACAGTACTTATCAATAAAAAAAAGATTTAACTGCAATTTTTGCGTATTTTAATAAAAATAGCGTTGCCTCAATTAACTTTAAAATTTTACCAAGCAAGGAAGTCAATACAAATTGCAGTCACAAAAAATTAGTAAATAAAAACCAGTCTACTGGTTGTATTTATAAATAAGTAATCTGTCCTAGCAAGATTGATTAAGAAATCCAATTCCACACTTTCGAAAATCTGTTAGGTAATACGTTTAGAAAGAATAATAAATAAATTGGATCATCCCTTAAAAACCTGGATAATAAATTCATTAAACAGTCCTGGTCAGAATTCAAAATGCACAAAAATTCCATTTCTTAGATTGTATACGTAATAAATCAATAGTAGGATATGTTTTGGGTCCCATCATTATCGAACTATCAAAATCAAGCGACCATTTTTAATTTAGATTCCTAATTACAAAAAGTACTAAATGTCAGATGAAATATTGTTAATTCATTAAACTTTAACATCATCATCATAAGGTCGTAGACATGGACTAAAAAATGTTTTTCAATGGACGTTTGTGGCAAACTATAATGACAACCCTTTGCAATCTCAAAGGATATTGGATTGTGATAATTAGTCACTTGCCGTCCGTTTTGCATGCTCCTGATATTTATCGTAAAGTTGATATCAGGTTGAATTTGTCTAACTGAGACTGAAGTTTGATCCCAGCAGAAAGAGAGAAAATTACGGATAAATGATTGAATGCGGGTGGGTTGGAAGATAACAGAGCCTTTTTTCAGCTTGAATTCTCTCATTTTTCTCCTTAATGCGAGCATCAATTTGAGACAAAGGAGCTCAAATCTGTTTTATCTCCGTACCTTACTAAAGATCACCCAATTTTATCGTCTTTATGTCGAGACTCGTGACTGTAATAATTAGATTAATTTCTGCATTTGCCCATGCATTTATCTAGGCCATTTCTTTGAATGAATTCCTATTATTAAACTTAAAAACTAAATTTTAAACACTTTGAGAATATAACTTAGAAGTTTGACAGACATATATTATTAGGGGTTAGAGAAGCGAATGCACTGAAAAATCAACTAACGAAAACTGTGCATAACAACAATTTTCATAATTCTCCACATTTAGGAAACTTTTAGGACTGTTCCACGGAAAGCTTAGAACTAAATATAAATTTTTGTATCTAGATATTTATAAAAATAATTTTATATTTCTTCTAGGTATCTTGAATTTTATAAACTTAGATATATATGAAAAAAATATATTGCTGATCATTCTTTTAAAGTTATTTTAGATCTCGATTTAATTCAATAAACTCACCCTGAACTTTTGATCTTTAATAAGGATCCTGTTGATCCGTATTTATTTTTACTTAATCATATTTTATTATTTGAATATTTTTTATACATATATATCCGATGTTTTTTTAATTTTTCCTTTATACTATTGTTATTATTATCTAGAAATTTCCCTAAGTATGTAAACTCATAATACCACAAATATTAAGAGTTAAACATTAATTATAGTTACTTATATTGAAAGAAAATTACTTTTAATTATATATTTTATAATTATTTGTTTGATATTTTTAACAAACAAAAATCGAGAAAAACAATTAAACATACTAACAATATGATAATATACATACAAGGCTTAAGGCGTGGATCCCATAACAGCAGTAGCAGTTCTAAAGCATCCATACGATCAAATCACGGTATAAAACATTCTAAAACTCACGAGCACATTTATAATGGACATCATGATGTCATGCATCATACAAATCACATGGTTTTGACTGATCCTGCCCAACTTTTCACAGTTAATCAACAGCAGCATCAACAGCATGTACTTTTGAACGAACGTCGTCGTTCATCAATTAATCATGCACAAATACAGCACACCTTTCCAAAACATGAGAGAGCCTCTTCAAAGGAGTCACATACGGAAAAAGAGAATAATCTAGATAATTAAATATTAGTACTTATTTCGAACCTCATATTATTAGCAATATCACCAGATTTCTGAACCGTTTAGTAAGATTTTCTGGACGGCTTTCTTTTTCCACAACGTCTCATTATTTAATAATTAAAGTTAATTTATTATGAATATAAGCTTTAGAAATATCAGAACTGATTTTAAGCTTCAGTACTAAAGAAATATTAAAAAAGAAACCCGTAAAAATTTCTATTCATTTTCAAAATACTTTTATTAAATAAGGCGTAGCAAAACTGTGACAGTTTTTATGATTCTGATGAAAGCTTTTTCTTTTCATCAAACCAGAATTTCTGAACCTAATTTTTCTTAAAAAATATTTTTATATAAAGTTTGTACTACACACACAAAAAAAATATATGAGACACAATAGCGCATTTCACGCACAGAAAATCTGAATTCATAATATAATATCAATAACGTTGTGTTATTATTCTAATATTACTTACATGATTTAGTGCAATGTATCTTACGCTTATGCCATTTTTCGTCCACAAAAATTCAAGAATAATTTTTTTATAGCGTAACATTATTAGAATAACATTACTTCAGCTCTAGTATTAATAACGGAAATGTTATTATCATGATAACCTTGCATAAAATAAACCTGATAACGCTTATTATTACTTCAATAAAGCATGTATGCTCGTCAATATAATAGCAATCTCTAACCAATCATGCGCGATATTGCTGAAACTATAATTTCCTCTGACTGCATTCAAAGCTCGGTAAACTGATCGCTCATTGAGTCAATATACTCGATACACAGACGTGTTTTAATATACATTAGTGTGATTTTTACTTAGAATACAATCGATGAACAAATAAGCTCGATTAAGCAATATTTTTTGTTCCCCTCGAAACAACAGTTTATTGAACTTTCACTGCATTTAAAAAGTCTTTCACATAAAGACACCTCTGGGAGTTACTGAAATCTAAAAATTTCACTAGAAAAAGAATTCTATTAGATAAGACGAAAAGAAATATAAGATCCAAAGTAAGAATTTAACAATTTACAGTTGACTAAGTTTAATCTTAATTTTTTCATTATATAAGCGCAGCATAGTTAAGAAAAAAAATCAAAAATGCTTCAAACCGGCTAAGATGCTCGGGCTATTTTATAAATTCCTGAGGATCATTAAGAAAATAAAATAAAAGAAATAATTTTCATTAAATACACATTTAAAATTATATAAATTTGTTCTTTCCAAAATTTGTATGTTGCACCTAAAATCTTTAATAATATTTACTATACCGTATAGTCTAATTACAATATTATTTTTTGTAGTAAGTTATTTCGTGTACTTTTGATACACTCATTTAAATCAAGAATTTCAGTATGAGTTACTAAAAGTAAAGTTTTTTGAAATTCTATTTACTCACAATTAAATTAATATAAATATTTAATTTTAAAAATAATAACAATTAAAAAAAGAAAATAAGCATCAAGCAAAATTGTTTCAAAAATAAAAGTAAATATTACAATTTCAATGAATGAAAACTTTAGAGGTAAGATTAAATAATTTGATATAAATTGTCAATATTGCATTAAATTGGATAGATTAATATTTAGGCATTTTATTAAAACTTAGTATTGAAAAACTTTCGCACTAATATATTGCAATCTTAGGCTTAGTCTCTAGCTTATGAATTTTCTAATAGTTGCCGGTCGTATATGTTTCGAATCTTGTAGAAATTTATAAGGGACCACATTCATTTTATATACTGAGCATCGTACTTGAGAAAATTAATTTTTAAGAAACGAATTGGATTGCTAGATGATATTTCTTAATAGAAAGAAAACATACTTCGGTTTCATTTTTAAGACCTATTGCTTGAAAGCCTTTGCGGTTTCTTTTCAGACCGAATTGAAAAGTAATTTTTTGATATATTGTTAATTTTGTTATGTAAATATAAAATATAAAGGAGAACACATTGAAGCTATTATAAACAGTACTCTTCACCTAAAAAAAATTGAATAAACAACTGAATAAGACAAATATTGAATATGAGTAAATATAACATGAACCTGTTATATTTTTCTTATATGGAGCATAACAAAAGTAGTGAAATGGCTGACATAAGGAGAGATCCTTTTTAAAAAAATTATAAAATGGATTAATAAAAAAGTGAGGCATACCTACATGATTAAAAAAAAGCAGTAATGAAGTTTAAGTTTTGAATACAAAATACAATCTGCTCTCACCATATAATTCCCTATTTACAAACTTCGAATACAAAGAGTCACCTGCTATCAAATATAAAATGAATTATCAAAGTTTTCAATGAAAAAACAAATTATCCTAATGTTATAATTATATCATTATGAAATATTTTGTTTTTTTAATACACTACATATGTAGTATAAACTAAAATAGAATTTTAAATTTAAGAATACTGTGGCTTAACATGTAACAATTCTTTGATGCAGTGGGAAGCATCAAAAATTGAAAAGCTAAATAAGAAAACACTACTTTCTTGAAAACAAAATAAATATTAGAGAAAACAGTTCTTATTTTTCTAGATATTCATTGAATTAATTTTGACTTTTCTTGAAATCAAATTATATCTAATAAAATAGATTACAGTATTTAAATTATTTCATTGAAATCATATTGCCAGTTACAGTAATTTTTTTGCTATTAAAATTTTGCATCTAGGTATATAATTTTTTTATAATCTACATCATTTATTTGAATACATATTAGGATGAAGGAAACATTTTTATTCTATTAGAAGTAGATATCTACTAGTATCTTCATTCTAATATAAAACATTTTATATTATGTACATACGATTATAAAAGTGACAAAGAAGACGTTTAATTTGTAACAGATGGAATATCACGGTTCAATCAGCTTCTAATATTTAAAATTGATGCTAAAAATAAATATGAAATATAAAAAACAAAAGCATGAATGGGAGAATATCCCGGGATTATTTAACTCACAGTTTTGGTCATAGCTTGAGAATATTTTAAGATTTATAGCTTCTAACAAAATAATAATAAAAATTTTTCACTTCTAAATAAAGTCTTTTATTTGATGTACATATACCACGTGGATTACACGTGGATTAATGTGAACCACGTTGATCATATAATTTTAATAAGTGCGTATCGCATTATTAAAAGATTTCTTTTAACTTGCCCTACATCATTTGATGCTAATTGTGGTCGATAACCTCCCAGCAGCGATACAAGACGTCATCAATTATTTTCAGCATCGCTATTAATGATTGTGATTTTTACAAAAGCTGGACTGAAAATCACTTAATAACTGTTTTGATAAGTAGTTTTCAATTTAAGTTTTCATAGAGTTGAACGAACATGTGATAAACACATCCTATTTAATGAGATTACAGTGGACTTTTGCTTCTGCTACGATTTAAAATTGTTGTACAGTGAAACTTTGATAAGCCGATGGCTCAAGGTGCATCGGATTATCGATTCATCGCTTTATCGAAGTAATTTCCGATATAAATTTGATTTGACAAGGGGGAAAAAAATATCGGTTTATCGAGGAATATCGGCTTATCGAAGTAACGGCTTATCAAAGTTTCACTGTATCTTGAGAAAGTCAGTCAGTCAATCGAGTTGAGCGTGCAATTTGCCCATCTCTGTTTAAGACATGCTGCAAGCCTAAGATTCAAAAACTTTAAATCTAAGAAGAAAAACCTAAAAATATTGCCAAAATTATTCACAAAATATTTTATTAATAATAATTAGCACTCATTTTGATTTTCATGTAAATTTTAGAAAATCGAGGAAAGGAAATATTTTCTATTTTTACTAGGATTTCTGGATGACAGGTTTGAGGTGAGAGGATAATTTTTAAAACTCTGTTTTGCTTTAGTTATTTTTTATTTCACATTACTTCTTAATTTCTTTAAAAACTGTAATTACCTTTTAATTCCAAATAACTGTTTTTCTCAAACAATATTTTTTAAGTTACCCTTTCAAAAATTTCTGTCTAACATGTAATTCGAAATTTAGGTGCATTTATACTTTTATTTAGGTATATGGATTATTTCATTTAATGTTCTTATCAGAACTCGAATAAGAAAAACTTCCTTTATTCATATATTTTCGTCTTTTTAAAATACCGGATTAAGCAAAGAAAAGAAAAGTGAACTAGATAATGAAGATATATAAAGAAAAAAATGTTTTCTAAATATTATTACATCTACAGTAGATATTTGTTCTATTTTTAATGCAATTCTATTCACCTAAATATATAAATTATCATTTTTAAACCAAGTTATCAGAGTATATGTGTTACACTCTTATTATTATTACGAATACAGTGCTCAATAAACTGATTGTTCTAAAGGGACAAAAAATATTAGTTCGTCGAGCTTATAAGCTTATCGAATGTGTTCTAAATATCAAAATCAGACCAGTGTTTTTTTCAATGTGTCAATGTGTTTCAGATGAATTAATAAGCTCGATGAACTTATATTTTTTGGCCCCTAAGAACAATCAGTTTATCGAGCTTTCATTGTATAAGCTTCTTTTCTAATCTTTGGAATTTTTGAATGAGTTTTGTGAGTTTTAAAATTCTCTATTTATTGTCTATTTAAGAGTAAATTTTTACATATTATGGCATGGGAATCCTCAATAATTAATCATTCGATTTTAAACCTATATAATCAGAGCTAATCCTTGTTAACCAATTTGATGATTCGACTTACGAGAACGTTACACAATGAGGATTTTTTTAATGAGAGTTAGTATCTTTAGTTGATATTTAAGGTCGAATCTGATGGTTATGAAATGATATTTGACTATGGTTTAAAACAGCCATATCACAAACCAAACAATGATAATGACTTTGTTTAAGAGTATAAGGACATTCGCCATCAGGCGTGTTTTGATTAGCTATTTTGCAATGTTCATTGTTGGAAATTTTTTTGAAACCAGCAAGCTTAATATAATCCTGCTTGTTATGCTGTCTCCGATGAGCCACGACTTTGTTTGTATCTGAACAAATGTAGTCACACTTTAGGCAATGAAAATGAGAAGATTTATTGTTTAAATCGAGATTTTTGTTATAGCAACAAGTCTGATAACCGCAGGGTATATTAGCACGAAATTGCTTAAAATCATTGCCCATGAGTTTGTCAAGACGTTCGTGACGTGCGGTGTGTTGCATAAAACGTGTTCTATCGCAAAAGCTATAGCTGCAATCTTTACGCGTACAGTGAAAATGAGACTGATGGTTGCGATAACCGCATCTAGAAAAGTTACAGTCTTGATTAAATCTGAATTTCAGGTAACCCTTCGGGATTATATTGTCTTTGTAAGATTTATTTTTACGCTCTCTCACTCGTTCTAAAGGTTTCGGTTTCTTTTTTGTTAATAAATTTTCAAGTTCATCAATTTTATGTTTACGATTTATGCCCAAAATATTGTTCGCTACCATTGATTCTAAACTAAATTCAGGATTTCCATCCAATGTCGACATAGGTGATGGAAAAGATAACATTTTTCTATGGTCAACATTAAGGATTGAAGACCCTTGACCATTAAAAAAGGGATAATATTTATTATAGAAGTTAGATTGTTGATGGTACATACTAAGTAGATTTGCAATTTGGAGATTTTGAAAAGGTAATAAGGTGGTTGATGTACCACTAAAAGGAGAAAATGTGTTATCTTTCAAAGATTGGAAAGTTGTCGATAAAAATGTTTCAAGATCATTTTTTGCATCATTGAATGGTTTGTTAGAAGTATGAAAAGTTTCTTGATTGAATCCAACTGGAGGCTGTGATAGTTTAGGATAATGATCGCCAATTTTTTCTTCAAACTGAAAACATTCATTGGTAGCGGGAATCTTATCATACTTATTCTTTGGCTCATTTTGTGTGCGTGAGCCTACCATTGATTGCAATATCATGTCACCTGGGGTGTGAATATTTTCATTTTCATTGTTAGGTACCCAAGTACCTACTGCCCGAACAACTGAAAGAAGAATTAAAATATTAATAGTACTCTACTTCATGAATAATGAGTCAATACCTGAAACTTTAGTTTGTTCACACTCATTGTTTGGGATATCATCTGAAGAATTTAAATTTATTGTTTCTTCTTCTTTTGATTGTTGTTCACCTCCAAATAGCAAATCTTTATTGTTGTAAAAAGCAGCAGATTTTGTTTTTTCTTGATGAGCTTTCATAATATCATTTTCAATAGTATCAAAGTATTCATAATTCTCTTCGATATTTCCTTCACAAATATGTTCATTCATTTCAGAAGGCATGGTGAAGGAAAACATACAGGAAAGGCAATGGTAATGACACGAGATCTGAAAGAAAGATTATGATAATATTATTCTAATCTATAATTATTATTTAGTAAAATTATAAAACATTATCTAAATCGGTTTGAATAGGATGATTTTTAAATATTTTCCTACTTTCATACTTTCTTCATCTTGAAATTTTTCATAATGCATTTCTTCTAAATTGATTATAAAATACTACTTTTAAAAATGTTTTCTAAATCACTTTATAAAAATTAAACTTGAATTATTGAGTGTAGAAGTGTGCAGTTTTACTTAACTGATTGAGGTTGCACATATTTTTTTTTCAACCTTAAATACAGTAATTTAGAACTGCTTTATTATTATTAATTATTTAATTCATTAATTCATGGGATTAAAGCTTGAGAAGGAAGGCTTTCTTTTAACAAGAAATTAAAAAAATATGATCATAATGGTTTTGATTTAAATACCTTATTGTAGCAGCAATCCGATAGTTTGCAATCATAATTTCGATCAAAGTAATCATAATTAGGCAGTATTTGATGTTGCCCATGGAATTCATTCAAATGAATATTCATAAAAGACAAATAGTTTGTTGAATAATGGCAACTCTTTGATACATTACAATGAAGATGTATCAAATTCTTAAAAACGCATGCTGAATCATTACAATTTTCTGATGACTGAATAATGTCAATCTTTGCGAATATGTCCTCATCAGATGTCGTCTGAAGATTTTTTTCTTTCTCTTCATTGCCAGAAAATTTCTCTACATTCGGTGTGTTTGTATTTTTCTTGCCAGTATTATTGCGTTCCAGTTTAAAACTTGTAAAAATCGCTTGTGGTGGATGATTAGCCTACAATTTAAAATTAAATATATTTAAGTCACTTTAAATAAATAATTAAAGAAATAATCTAGGAGTTGGAAATGGTAAGGGAAACTTAAAAGGCTTTCAAAATCTGATTGGAACTGATCATTTATCTTACATTATTATAGACTTCTACAACTCGATTTTTTGGTGGCCTTCCTCGTTTTCTGTTAAAAAATCCTTCAACTGATGTTATTTGAAGAAGTGTAGAGTTTTGAATTATGCTGTTAGCTCCTTGATCTATTTCATGAACATTAAGATGTTCTGTGACTTCATTTAGTTCACTTGCTACAACCGCTTCACAACCTGTTATCAAACAATGCAAATGCGGCTCATTATTGGTCATGAAACATTCTATCATATTATTTTTTTCCGAAGATTTAATATCTAAATTTAATGGTTTATCGTCTTGTTTTTGCTGTTGCTTCGTACAAAAATCGCTAAAATATTGACTAACAATATTTTCTATTTCATCTGTTTCTTTATGGATTATGCTATTTTTTTGAGTATTTACATTCTGGCCCATTGATTTAAGATTTGTATGCTCATAATCGTTTTCATTTTGATCTTTTTCAACACTTGAAGTATCATATTTTAATAAATTATTATCATCTTGTCTAAGCTTTTCTGATATATTCGATTGTTTTGCAGGTGCTTGATTAAGTAAAATATTTAAACTTTCCAACGACGAGTTGTTCAACAGTTTATTGAATTTTTCAGTTATTGCATGGTCAGAAACCAGATTTTTTTTCATATTTGAAGCCACAGTTGATTTTGGCCATAAATCTAAATTTTGATATGACTGCAGTACTGCAAGCTCTTGTGCGTTAAAATCTATAACAGACCCTTCTGCTCTAAATTTTCTTTGTGATAATTCAGCATCTAATCTTTCATGTTTCCTTTTATGACTTAAAAGCTGACTACTTGAATGCAGGACATAAGAACAATTGTGACGGGTGCAGTGAATGTGATTACAGATAGTACTGAATCTACATCCCTGAATTTTGCATGCTTCGGATTTTAAGTATTTCTGAAAACCATCTTTAAGTAGTTGTTCATCTTTCATATGATAGGTTTTGTGTTTTTCTGAAAAAATATTGAAGTTATTATTTATTTATTTATTCATTTAAAATTTTCTTCATTTCTTCCTTCAATGAAACTTACCCATATCTGCTTTGTTTTTAAAAGTGTATTTGCATCTTCTACAGTGAAAATGAGTAGTGCATTGACCATAAAAAATGCAATGTTGTGTCATACATTTTTCTGTAGATCGGAACCTTTGAAAGCCTTCCTGATAAATTGCTGAATCTTTCCGATGGTAATTTGAATGCATCTGTACATCACTTGTGCTTATATAAATCTTGTCACATTTACTCTGAATACAGTGGTAATGTGTTTGTTTTCTATTGTGCTGACAGTAACCGAACTGTGAAGAACAATCGTCAGATGATGTAAACCGTAAAAATCCATGATTTAAAGATTCGAAGCGTTTTTTGTGCCATTTTAGGTGCCTAATTATATCTTCTTTTTTGTTAATCATCTTGTTATTACATTGAATATCATGACAATGATAATGTTCCCGTATATTTTCACCCAAGCAATATTCATTGTGGCAATCGACAAAGGACTGATATTTTGTCAAATATTTAGAGTGCTCCTCTGAAAATACATATTTGGATATTGAACAAGGATTAGAATTTTTGAAAAAAATATATAACATGATCTATCTTGTAGTGATTTTCTACAAAAAAAGTAAAAAAACTCAAGTTAACCGGAACATAGATAACCATGCAATTGATTTTTTTTAAAGAACTTTGACTTTGTTATGTTTTCTTAAAAAAATTAAATTAAAGTACTAAGAGAATGGCATACAACGTTAAATTAGGTACCCTGGGATAATTTATTAACTTTTATTTCAGTTTATTCACATAAAATTGCAATTTGATATTCATTTTCATGTTTCGATAAAATGTAAAATTTACTTTTAGCCAGCGACATAGATAAGTAATTAACAGTTAATCACTCTTTTAGAGACTTTTAAATATATGCAAATAAAAAAATATCTTTCACTTCCTTTTGCATATAATTTTAACTTTAATATTTGATGCTTCGTTTTTGCTAGGAAATTTTAATAATTATGCAATTGTTCCTTCTGCATCTCACAATTTTTTAATATTTATAAACAAATCTGTTTATATGTATATGCTTACCGATTAATTGTCGTTCAGCCTGATGATCGACGATGTTCGTAGTTTGTGACTTTGAACTTGATTTAGGATTCTGTGTAATACGACTTGTAAACATTATAAATATTTTTTTATAAATTAAAAATTCAACTTACCAATCCATATAAACCTATATAGGGCATTGCATAATCACTTGAATTTTCATCTACTGCTTTTACTTGTGATCCACTTGAACTACCCTCTAATCCACTAAAATCTTCGAAATAGTTTGAAAATTTGTTTTCCAGAATAGTTTTCTCGTCAATTTCACTCTTCACTGAATTATTTAATACTGGTGTACGAGGTGGAGTTGGTGGTTCAAGATTTTGCTGAGTACATGTTGATGACAATAATAAATCTGAGAAAAAAGAAATAAAATTACTTTCAAAATTTTGATTGATATTAAGGGAATTTAATTTTCCAAATGCTTCAATTAAATTTTGATTCATTCTTAGATAAAATTATGAAAAATCCTGAGAATATTTTAAGTTTTTTTCGAGATGTTTTCAGTTTAACACTTTTTTAAGAAATGAAACGGAAAATGATCAGAAATATCTGAGGAAGTATTTATTTTTTTAAACATAAAACATAGACCCTAAAAAATGATACATAAATAGATTTATATATATTTTATATAAATGTGTACGTGTTTTTTTAATAATAAGAATTGGCATTAAACGTCAATATTATATTTCACCCTAAAGAAAGACTAATTTAAACTTCAACCCTAATAGCCCTACACACGTTTATTTTTTATGGAGAACCTTCACCCATCATCCTAATAATAGTTTAAGGTTTCACCTTTAACTTGAGAAAACTTTTTTTAACAATGTTTTATCCACATAAAATATAATATCATCGGCCTTCAAATTTTAGGAAAAAATTGTATCAAATAGTATTTTACGAGCATGAACATTATATTTTTAATGTTGTTCTAATTTTTATAGCAGGATTTAGTCATTAAGCGCTAAGAAAAGCAGATTTTTGTGAAATATGCATAGAATGAGTTCTTCACATTTGTGATAAATATGAAATATAATTAATAAATTATCTTTATTTTAGGCTCGTTAAATTGTATCATTAAGTAACTAAACGATTGTGGCCATGAAACACTTCAATACTTCGATAGTTAATTAAAATCTGGATATCCATTTCTTAAAAGTTTTGCAAAGTCCTTTTTTAAACCAGTTGTTCCAACATTTGCATGACAAGCAATACATTTGGATCGAAATCAAATGAACTTTTGGTACACATTTCTTATATTTTCTCTTTTATAATTACGGATCTTCATTCCGGATTGAATTTGTATGTGATTTAAATCAAAATAGATAGTCCTGTTTAGGAGTGATGCACAAATAGATAATCAAAAATGCAAAAAAAATAAGCATAACGAAATTTGAATTCAATCCAACCTTCATGAAAACGACTGCTAATGATTTAAAAATTTTATTTTACCTGAATCTAGAATCTCATTTAACCCTTTCTCGGTAAACTACAATTGTTGTATAATTTTTGAATCATTTTTTTTATAAAAAATTGTTAATACTGTTTTTAACGGATAAAGCAGGAATTTATCAAAACTTATTGCTTGCAGTTTTTTTAAATTATGCATAATGTTGTGCACATAAATTATGCACATAAAGAATCTATATGCAAAGCAACTTCCACCAGGACAACTTTTGGAATGAAATCATTTACATAAGTAGATTGGATATAATTGTCGTTATTAACGAAGTTTAAATATACTGCTGAAGATACATTTTTAATTAAAACTGGATTATCTTTTTCTATGAATTGGTTGTTAGTTACTATAGATGTTACTTAAAATTAAATAAAACTTAGGAAATAAATATGTGAATATTTAAAGAAAGATTACGGTTTTTCTGTTTAAAAGAGAGTTAATTGAAGTTCGAAAATATTGTCACCAATATTTTTTGTTTGAAATGTGTAAAAACAACCACACAGCTATATTTTATTATTTAGCTAAATATGAACAAAATAAATTTAGAAGATTCTTGATCGTGTGAACCTTAAGATTCCTAATGTTTTACCTTTTAAGATGAAAAATTGCCAAGTAAATAAAAAGGGTTTTATGTAAAGGGGTCTTACATAAAAACAGTTTTTTTTGTGAAATAAAATTTCTTGCTTTTTTTTAAGGGATAATTTTTGATGAGAAAATTAAAAAAATTCTTTTCTTTCGTGTATCACGTTGCTTATATGACATTCTTAAAAAGTAAATGAAGTTTTTTTTAGTAGTTTCACTATATAATTTGAGTTAAAATAAGAAAATAAAATTAAAAATCAGTCAAATTGCTCAATGTTATTATGTCTTACCGTGTCTTTCTTAGTTCATAAGTGTAAGTGCAAACATATTTGACCTAAAATACTATAATAGGAGCTACGCATTTTTCTACAGGTAAAAAATTACGCAAAAAAATCTAATATTTTCTTATTTCTTTGAAATATATCCTAAAGGGTGAACATATTATGATTGAAGAAACGTTGAACGTTTAACCTCAATAATCTTTGATTTCATCAGATGCCAAAACTCTCTTTAAAAATTCCCCTTCTGTGCATTCCTGTCGTCATCACCCTATCTATTTATTTTTTTTTCTACTCCTTTTTGTTCAATTCTTCAACTTAAGTATAGATAAAATATTTGAAAAAACTGTGAGAATCTTTTGCACAAATTATACAGAATATGTATGTGCTTCCTTGATTTCATAAACAAGGTAAAGACTCTAATGTAGGTAAAGAAGAAATATTATTATGATATCAAAATATCGGAAAACTATAGTTAAAGTTTATAACATATTTCTAATGTTTATTAAAATGACTTACCAATTTTTGTTTTCTGTATTGCGTCGATAATTTCTTTTTGTGGAAAAGATAGGCCATATAATTTTAATAGTTCTTCCATGGTTATAACAGCAAATTCTTTAAGTTTCATTTCCGAGTCGTTTACATCCATATTAGAATTGAGAAGCTCATTAACTCGATTCGCATTATTTCCAACGGCAGCGTCTCCTAATAATTGTTGATAATTTGAATGAAACTTTGTGAAAACTTTATTTTTGATGGTTTGATGGTTTGAAGTTTGATGGTTTGCAAACATTTTGGAGTTGTCTTTGGAAAGACTGAAGGTGTCCGTAAAAAATGATTTTCCCTTTTCAGTATCTCCATTAAAAATCATACTACTGAAAATTTTATTTCCATCTTCTTTATCCATATCTTCCTTGATACTTTCCTTCTGCAGACATTGTGGATTAAACTTTTTTCGTTTATTCCTTGGTGTTTCTTGTAAAATCAGTTGTGGGCTTTTAGAAGTCTTCCTCATTTTCTAAGGGCAATAATGAATTTTTTCCTTTTTGAAATTTTTTTAAAAAGTTTATTAGGTATTATGATATTATTTTATGAAAGAACTTGGTTTCGGAAAAAATAAAATTTGTTATAGACATGTACATAGATTAATATTTAAAATTATTCAGCAATATAATGTATATATATTTTAGAATATATGTATCTATATATTTTACATATATAATTTATAATTGTATACGCATACGTATATAAACTAATAAATACACATGTTTGGAACAAACAGAGCAGTCAAAATGATTTTTTGCTTCTACTTATTTAAGAATTTCTTTAAAATGATGAAAAAAAATTTGAAATGACTATACAAAAAATATTCAATGTCTAAAGCGTATAATAAAAATTCTTTCCACATTTATACAAAATTATATAAATGAATGGACTTGATGGTTGTTGTTGAAGTTGAGAATATAAAAAAGAATTGATATATTTTCTTCTTCATTTCAGGTTGGATTAATTTATATGATATTTCTTTGATTGACAGGTATTCAAAAATACAAGTATTAGGAATGTCGTCATTTTAAACAATTGTTGATTTAGTCTTAAAATATTCGTTTTCAAGTTGCTCTGAATCAGTCCCTTAGATAGATCTAGAACTATAACTATGTATCTACTTTTATAATACTCTTGTAATTAACGTTTAATTTCTTTCATCCATTCTATTCTGCAAAAAAATGATTTTGACTAGATTTTTTTTATTGTTTTAAATATACTTATAAATATTTATAAGATATTTTTCCTTGTAATATTAACTAGACCTTCAAATATTGTAATAAACCCGATTTCTCTAAATTTTAACCTTTTTGTGACAAATCTAATTGAATAAAAGCCACATGAAAGAAATGTTTATTAATTATAAGAAGGATAAGTGTGTTAATTGAGCTGGAAACGTTCTGAATTGTCCTAGCTATTTGATCTACACCAAAATGTGTGATTGTTATTTTTAAATAATGACCGGTTTAAGTTGAATCAATGTCCTTAAAGATCTTCTCTTATATTGATTACTTGATTACAGAAATTACATTTCGACTGAATTGTCATAAAAAAATTTAAAATTCATTTCAAGTTGAATCTCAAATTGGCTTGATTTTTTAATATTCACAAAGGAACTGTTAACAATCTTTGTAGACATATTTCTAATCGAAATTTGGTATTTTCTAATACGATATCTAATTGTCCCGCATAAATAAATCCTGAAACATCATAAAAGGTTTCAAGTTAACAAAACTGTTTTTGAATCATTCAAATATAAATTCAATTGCCTCGTATGTAAACACAAGCGTATAATAAACATCTATAAGAAATTTTTAAAAGGTCATCACAATGTTCTTTCATATTTCCTTTTAACTTCTTATTTCTTAATCATTTTTGAGTGTGTTTCTTTGCCTTCAGTTTCAACATTTTGAATGTTACTCTTATATTTAACAAATTTAATAATTTTTCAGTCTATTTATTTTTTGTTCTTAAGCTATAAAGAATGTATGGGTTAAGCAATCAATCTTTTTTACATCAGAATGTAGTTTTTCTTCCCACTGAACTAGTATTGAAAGTTGTTTTTAATCACAAAATGAAATTCAATCTAAGTATCAATCGTCGTTACTTATAGTCACTCAAAAAAGTTGGAATGAATTCAAAAACGTATAACCTTTAGTTTGGCAATTGTGGATTATCTTTCTGTAAAGCACTCCCAACTAGGATTCTATTTTGATTGAAATCCCATAAAGAGTGTGAGTCCATCCGGATTGAATTTTTGGTATTCATAAAAAAATTCATTCCTAACAAAAACCTTTTCAATCGAACATTTTTTTTATCTCCTTTTATGAATGCGGCTGTTAATATTTTTTTAAATATACATTTATGCGATAACGAAAGTATTTGATATTTGGAAATGGAAAAAGAAAATCTCAACACTTGTTTATTGCAGGAATACTTAATAAATCGGTTGAAAGTAGTGAACTTTTAAGGTCTCTCTCGACTTAAACCCAAAATTGTTAATCTAAATGAAAGGAGCGTTCATTATTAGAATTTCTCAATTTAATGCAGATTAATTTAATCAAAAATATGTTCATAAGAAAATTCAATGAAAGTTTGACATTGCCGATTTCTATGAATACAGCTGTTTCTATTAAATTAAACAAATAAGTATAAATAGATTATAAATGAAGTATTTACTTGATTTAAAGGTTCAATATGAAGCATTTATTTAATTGAATGACAAAAAAAATCGTACATGATATTTGAAATCAAAATAGTTCAAAACTATTGAGAGTTATACTTGCCAATTTTTTTTATTTTGTAAGAAAGTTTAAAATACATATTTTCACTATCGCGGTTTGAAGAAGTTTTAACAAAGATTTCTTTAAAAAATGCACTAGATCTGAGAGTATCATCTTCAGGTATTAAGTAGACAGGGACTAAAAAGACTAATCGGATTGCAATGAACGTGTGTAGCAAATGAAAAGGACAACAATTTTTATACTCCTGATATCTACCACGAAGATAAAACCAAAAATTTGTAAATAATTTCATAATTTATGAATCATAAACTAAACTGTCTCTGATTTTTAAGTGTTCCAAAACCATTTCTTAATTTTTCTCACATGTTTCAAAAATCTTTCGAGGTTCTCTAAAAATGTATTTTTTTTATTAAACTTTAAAGAAAATATCGAAAATATTCTATATTTGCCGAAGTTT